GCTCGACGGCCCAATAGCTGTACATAGATGCACATCTCGGAATGGTCCAACTTGCTACGTGCATCTATGGAATGACCCGTGAGAGCGCTTTCATAGATACACGTTGATGTGGTTTTCACTGGGGCATTGTACTCAAGAGGCTCAGAATGGCTCCCCTCAATATCTAACACACATTCTGGTTTGTAAAGAGATGAGCAGCAGGAGCTCTGAGTGTGGTACAGCAGTACAGACCAGTGTTTGGCTGTTTTATGAACCTATATTAGGTTGGACAATTGTGCACCAAGCCCTCAAATTATCTACATCATTGTACAAGCCTTCATAAATTTTTGCGGTATTTCTACTATTTTACTGAGGGAGTGTAGCCCCAAAAACAGTGGAGCTGGAACTCGGCAGAGCATTTGTGTGGCCCGAGTGGCACGCGAAAGGGCACGCGTCGATTACGTAATCTGGGACCCCGAGAACCTGTGAAGGTCGAGGACGCAAGCCGAAGAGCGAATCCTGAAATTAGACCTGATACACCAGGGCAACCGTAGCACCCACTTTATTTTGAGTTTGGAGTATGCATCGAGGCGGAGCGACGCAACCCGTCGAAGGTTGAGTACGAGTCTCTGCGGATCCTGCGCCGCTCGCCTCCCAAAAAGCTCACACCAACGGTAAATTAGGTGCGGAAAACACACACACAAGCACCCACGCACAAAGCGCGCCGTATTCCCGGGACTTCATTTTCGAGCCTCTGGGATACCGGCGGCATCGCCGCTTCGGATCCTTAATTGAGTTTTGCGCATCGTGCCATCATCGTGCGAGTTGTCCCCACTCACTCAAAGATACGTACGCGTTGGGAAAAATCCGAAGCGTCTATTATGCATCTGACGCTGATGCTCACGCGTACGGTTTCGCCGCAGGCATTTTCGGGCCTGATGTGAGCATAACTGAAAGAAGGCGTTACAGCCTATAACAGCTGCTAGGGAAACACCATCCAATCCAAACACTAAACCCCATGGAGGTAGACTACTGTTCGGTGGCTACTTTAGACGACGCCATCAGGCCAGTGATGCGGCCACATCGCCTGAGGCCAACAGCTGAGGGAGTCGCGTTCCCCGTATACTCAATTGCCACTGCATACGTATGTATAGCTAGCTGTGCTATGCTGTACTTGTTCTTAATCGGAGAGCAAAGTAGCTCTGTACTTTGCTACTGTAGTAGTATTGCGCGCTGGGGACGGTGTCCGACGGTGATGACGGTGGCTTAGAGTCGTATTTGAGACACAGCTTCGCATACTCCATCTCGTAACTTGTGTTCTCGCGCTTCGCTCAGGGTGAACATTGCTACTTAACGGCGTCGAGGAAAGAGGTGATCCGAACCTGGCATGATTCATAAATGACCACCGACAAAGAAGCATGTATGCTCAGGCTTTCCGTCAGAATCTCTCACAACCATGAGCTTGAGTGGATCCGACATACATGTACGAGGATCAGACTTATGATGGAACCAAAAACAAAGTCCGACACAGTTCGCACAGTTGTTCTATCTGTCTATCTATGTTACCAAAAGGGCCGTGCTAGGTGCCCGTTTCATCATCTGACCTCATCTCGCAAAGTCCGCCTCTCCAGCGAGTTGCTGTGTAGCGAATCTGATGGGTCTTTTCGAGCGGCACACATCATATCTGCCATCCATAAAGTCCCTGCCCCACATCTCCATTATGATTATGATCCATCCATCTCCGACCCAGTCATGCTACAAAGTACACAAACCCACGTACGCGAGATATAGATCCTGTTAGAGCTTCATCCCCGCCGATATATCACCCACGACCGTACTTCAGGTCAAAGCGTCTTGACAAAGTCGGGAGTCAATCGGACTACGCGTGTACGCCACAGGAGGGTGCCACACTAATGAAGAATGTCGCGAACACGACGGCCTTCTTACAGGGTCAGCTTTACGACCGCTGGTGGAGAATGGAAGCTCTATAATGGGCCTGTGAGCGCGGTTCGGTCGAAGTTGCCTATATATGAGACGAAAAAGAAAGGGTGATAGTGCGGCCCGTTGTCGGGGAAATCTAAATCTTTAACCTGGATCGAGATCAAGGGCGCGTGGGTGAAAGGGACAAGGAGGCGAGGACTTCAAGTTGACGATGAGTATGCAGGGTCAAAGCGCGGCCAGAAGTTGTTTGTATAAATGTAACACGCACTTCGATCTGAGCAACAGAAATTGATGAGCGGACTTGAGAGGAGCAAAGGGAAGTCTAGAAGGCAGGGAGTTTGTGAACATGAAGGACTAGCGACGCCACTTCTCCCGTAAGATATGTATCCGAGTCTTGTTTGAATCCAACACGGACACGCGGTCGCACAGGCACGAGCTCATCGTACAATTAGTGCAATCTACAGTGGCGCTGAAGAAAGCCGAAAAAGCGCTGCAGCGACGGGATCCGAACCCCCGATGATGCCCATACACGCGAAGTCGGCGTGAAAAGAATACAGTCCGGACATGGAAATGGACAAGAGCGTGATTCTAGTGGTGTGGTGTGATTGAGATCATGGATCTCTAATGGAGATATCTCGATGGTCAATGATCACTCCAGTTGACAGATTGTGGTGAGATAACCTCGGTGGGGCAATGAGGTACACACGCAGGCATTCCGGGCCACAGCCATGATCACAAGTTGCCGGTCGCATGTCCTGATCGCCATACAGAGCCTGAGACTGAGGCAGAGTCGGGAGCGCTTAGACCAGGAGCTGGTGGGATCTGATTCACGGGGGCTCATTGGAGATGGTACGAAGCGGCTGCGAGTGCAAGTGTGGATGTGAGAGGATGATGCACAATATGAACCGTTTTGTCGTGTTCTTTCCGCCACTTCGGATCGGAGAGACGAAGGAGTCGGGAGGATTAGGAAGGTTCCGAACTAAGAATAGTATGTATACTCACCGTTCGAAGCCCCTACACCTTGTCCTACGAGTCAGAGCCATGGGATCATAGCTGCGGATACGGATGCGCTTGCTGTCTTTGCCTCTACGGTCGAAGCTCAGCGTCCGTGAGACCCATGTGCAGGAGCTGATTGCATTGAAGATTGTCTCGCCAGATGCGGAGGTACTTGCATGAACACGCATGTGTAGACTCGAGCGATGACCTGTGCGCAAACATGAGAAGTGCAAACGTGCCTATGATGCCACGACAATAATAAACGAACTGTAGATCCCAAGTGCTTCCGAAAACGTGTCACATCGCACTGGAAGTCTTCATGCCCTTTTCACACGAGGTTATCGATAGTACATCGAGACATCCAAGCAATTGCAGCGTGACGGATTAGCCCAAGCAGAACGTTGCTCATACTTCATACCAACTAGGACCACGTTTAATCCGCAACTCTATCTCAAGCTGCCGCCTTGCGCTCCAGAACACAGGAACACTCTTGTGGCAAGAGGCGGAGAGGGCCGCGAAACACAGGTCAGACGCTACCTAGCGCAATCACCGAACATCACCCCTTCAGGGTAGGCGCCACTTTGGAGTTTGAATCGGGATATGAATGGAGAGCGGAATGCGGGCTCTACAATAATCACGGCCTGTCAGTCATTTTGGTTAGACCAGGAGGCAGAGCCTCCGCGTCCAACTTTGGATCGTCAATTGCTATGGAAATCGAAAGAGACGTTTCGCGTAATGGACGCTGCGCAGGCGGCGAAACTCTAAGCGTCTGAGAGAAGGACAAAATGAAGGGAAATCATCATCGGGAGAGGCGGAAGCAGTACACACCTGTATCACCGGCAGGTGAAGATATATCAGATAAAACATAAGCAGGACACATCGACGTTGCGTGATTTAGAGTTGATGAAGACGCGCGATTGACGAAGGATTCGATAAGTTTGAGTATGGGGATGTCGGCGAGAAACACGCTCCTTTAGACCAGTTTAGACATGAGAGTCGCTTTGCGAGGACGATCCGGATCCTTGGCCCTGCGCAGCGTTAGCCGAAGTTAGTTCAACGATGCCATGATTGAAACCCGACTGAGGGGCCGATTGATTTCGTCTTATCGCACGAGGCGACCTGAAGTGCGTCATAATCAGAATGGAATGGAAAGACAAGGCAAATCACAAAATGCGGACGAAGGGCAGCGAAGGGCCTCGCCAGAAACCGGCGGTAAGCTATCTGCATGAACGACAACAATAGATTTCATCAGCACAGCTGTACGAACATGTGCCCGTCAAACCTGACCATTTCAGCAAGATAGCTCTAATGAACCGTCACAGGACTAACCATACACTCCACCATGGTCGAGGAACAGGGGGTTATAAACGATCCTAAATATTTCCCCCACAAAAAGAGCCGAGATAGAGGTCGAGTGAGGCCTCATCAAAGCCGCGTCTCACGGAACGATGGAAAACGATGGAAGGCTGGAACCAGGAGGGCTCCACATCCCGCAAGGTCACCGTCGTGATTGAGATCGCGGACGATATTGCCGTAAAGCGCAGGACGAAGTTAAACGTGAGCCAGAAGCAGATGGCTGAGAAGATGAATCTGAAGCAGGCGACTCCCATTTGGCACGCACGCACGCAGCCACAACTCAGGCTCTGACGGTCAGGACTCGACTTCCTCGGCTGCCGAGAGATGTACGCATCCTCGAGCGGTCTTCCCAGCCTTGATTCTACTCCTGTTCTCAAACATTCGATATGTCACCGAGCCCTCCGTGGAGTTGCCGTATAATTCCACTTCTTCGAGTCTTGGCGAGGAATTTGCGATGTATGTAGGGGGACCAGGCTTGCAAAGTCTCGACTCGTGATTGGGTAAAAGTGCCCGGGACTCATGAACTTTCAGTAATTGTGCCTAACCGAATAGAACAACTGTTGTCAGCAAAGGAAGGAACGTCGCGGGAAAGAGCAAATTACGTTGACCCACACATGCCTTGAACGCTCCCATCTGTGTTCATCGGGAGAATCTCCGCATAAACCCAGTAAGTGCATAAGAGTGCCACGGGTCCGAAACTCATAGAAGACTGGCGAGAACGGTAACAAAGCTGGCCTTGAAAATGTCGTTCGTCATGAGGTGAAGGTTCCGAGGGTGAAGGTATCGCACGAATGAGTGGACGCCATGCAAGGCATAGTTAGTATGAATGAAATAGAAGCTACAAGTATAGCGGCAAAGAACAAGTGAAAGCTGTTTCCGTGAATACCCGTTCAAACTCTACAATTTGGGACGATGACCCGGTGCGGCGGAACCTCGTCACTTAATTTTGATGGCTTCTCCACCTTCCAGGCGTCGTTTTCTGGAGGGCATATTGTCGTCATCATCCACGCCGTTCCATGGGCGATCCCAGCCATAATGGGGAGGGTAAGGGCCGGGCGGTGGTAGCGAGTACGAGGGCTGATGGTGCATGTTGGCTGGGGCGTGTGATGGGAGATGTCGTGATCGATACAGGGATAGCAGAGAGTTGATGAAGAACGTTAGGAACGCGAGGGACGAGACCGTGAAGAACTATAATCCAAGGCAATGAGTTAGGATCATGTGGCAGGATGGGGAAGCCAACGCAAAGTATAAATACCATGGTCTTCCAGCTGATCGGTTCGAAAAACCCGTTGACGACCTCACCAATGAGTTCTGCACTCACTCTGGAGCGGCCAACCATCGTTGGGTCACGGCTCATGCAGGTTTCCCACATGCCACACTGGCGGATCATGGCAGGCACAGGGTTGTCGCCACAGAGATTTGCCTTGAATTGCGAAGCGCAGTTAGAGATTTCCTGGACAGTTTCTAGGATAGATCAGGTTATATTGCGCTGTAAGGTGAGAAGAAGACGATATTTACCCATCGAATATTCTGATACGCGGTATTGTACATCCCGTTGGATCGTAAGAATAAACTGCACGACGAGGTACAGGAACATGAGAAGCAGTGAGAGATTGAATAGAAACTGAACATAGCTGTGGAAATGTCGATGAACCTCGGTTAATTAAGCAGAAGGAGTAAACGGACTGACCCAAGGAGAACATAAGGCAAATCCGGTTTCTCCACAGAAGGCGAAGGCATGTTCAAAGTGTAGTGATGTGAGAGTTTCTGTATCCTGGACTTTCGAGGGCTTGACCTTCTGTCGTTGTCATCATCGCTGTCCTCTGCGCTGTCACTATCCTCATCCGAGTCGCCCACCCGTCTGTCTTTCGCGACCCGCAGGGCCCGCTCCCTCTCCTTCCGCCTCGATTTAAACACCCGCTTCAACCCGCCTAGCGATACAGCCCGTTCCTCCTCCTGTGGTTCCTCTCGATTTGGAGGGCTTGGTTCTGCCATATCCACATCTTTGAGTTCTTGCTGGGGAAATGCCTTCGCGGGCGAGAAGTTCTGTGGCGGCGCCCACGCAGGCGAATGTGGTGTTTGTGGGAGCGGGGATTGGAAGAGAAAGGGCACATTTTGATTCCCGAAGGTTGGAAAAGATGGAGTAGTAGGGGTTAAATCGTTGTGCGACCCTGTGATTGAAGGTACGAAATGTGATTGAGGTTTATTCTGCCATCCAATGGTACGAAATATCCTACGTTTCTGAGGTGTCTGTGGATCTTGCGACCCAGAAGCCCACACAGGTTTAATGCCAGAGTTTGGTCTAGATGTGAATTGGAAATCCATTGGAGCCTCTTTAGACCTCTCCGATCTGAGACGGTTGGCCATTGTGGGCAGCAGAAGACAGAGCGAGTAACAGCGCGTGAACCTGTTGAATGACCTAGCATAAGTATACTCTCAATGGTATGTTAGAAGCATTACCCAACGAACAGATAATTCCACAAAATAAGAATACGAAGAGATTACAGGACAAAGATCATTGAGGGGGATATAGCGACTGAGAGGGAAAGCGTTCAAACCTGCGTCGTCTCGTGTTCGCGTCGGGATCAGTATCACGTGACCCTTCCACGACGCGTCAAGGAGCTTGTGTCGAGCGAAGGAGACACTTGTTTCCTCCTGCCTATCATGTTTCGCTCACTAGCCACACGCAATCTCCCTACACGACTCGCTTCTCGCAATTGTAGAAGACATTTTTCTAACTTCAATGGATCACGACTGTCGCATCCTCTAGCTTCAGACTGGTCATCACCCAGCGCAAATGGTCTAGTCCCAATTGTCATCGAGCAAACAGTTGGTACATCTCTTCTATAACCTTGGAATCCATGTATAACTCTGGAACAGGGAAGAGGCGAACGCTCGTACGATATTTTCTCCAGGCTCTTGCGAGAACGAGTGATCATGCTCTATGGTCCAGTAAGCTGTGTCTTCGACATACGCCTCGCGCTGAGCTTACAAACAGCCGCTATGATCACCTCCAATAGATACGAGATACAGATTCTGCTCTCACAGTTGCTCAATTGCTCTTTCTTGAAGCCGAAGAAACATCCAAACCTATTCACCTATACATCAACTCTCCGGGCGGCAGTGTAACAGCCGGCTTAGCTATATACGACACAGTGCGCCACATCTCACAGTTTTACCGATTGGTGGCCCTTTGACTTACCACCACCATTCCTCCTTCGTTCATCTCTCATAGATGCAGGTTGGTCCTGCTTCTGTCCCGTCTTCGTTCTCCACGCATCATGTTTCGGCTCATCATGCTTCTTGGGCTGGAACAGTACGTCTCATCGCCGATCCACACGTACTGCGTGGGCCAAGCTAGCTCAATGGGTTCTCTTCTTCTCGCGGCAGGTATGTTACTCGTCTATCTATTCTCACCTCGTGCGCTTCATCTACCACCCTCTTTTGCCGTTTCTTCCGATCAATAGGTGAGAAAGGTAAACGGCACTGTCTACCCAACGCCAGTATTATGATCCACCGTGAGTTCTTCCGCGTTCATCAACAACCTCCGTTCAATTCACTCCAGCTACAATGCTGCGTATGAACTTAACAACATACCATTACTTTCTCAGAGCCTTCCGGTGGTGCCTCGGGACAAGCGACCGACATTGCTATCCACGCAAAAGAGATCCTGCGGATCCGGGAAGTTCTCACTGGAATTTATCAGAGGCACTGTGGCAAGCCTACAGAGAGTGCAGAACAGGGCTTTGAACGTTTCCGTATGCATTTGTCCCTTTTTTTCCCGGTCGAACTCACGGGTCTTACCATCTCCCACTCCTTCATCGTTCTATAGGAACTGCATTGGAACGGGACTACTTCATGACAGGTTCGTCAACCACTCCCCTTGACTATCTCATCACTTCGCTTTGTTTTTTCCTCATGTGCTCACGGTCTCGATGCTCGTTTCCCTCGATCTCAATCCTCCCGCGTCCCACCGTGTTTCTCTTTCTATACACTCGATCCAAACGACCCACAGCCCAAGAAGCCTTGGAGTTCGGAATCGTGGACGGAATCCTAGAGAAGAGGCCCAACCTCACCGGGAACGAAGGCTCCTCCTGACCTTGAGGCTATCTATGCCATTCAAGTTGTGGTCCGAGGCGAGACCATACCATAGTGCGGTTCTGTGCATGTAGAATAACAATGCGCTCATCCAAAACTCGATCATGATCAAGGGCTAGGCGTCGACGTCGTTCTCACAGTTCCACGATGGGTCGAGGGTGTAAGTGTTAATATTAGACGTGAATCGAGGTCATAGACAAGACTGCGTCGGAAAGACCAGAGGATGACTCACTCCTTCTCCAGGGCAAGACTCATAATTTACACCGAGGCGAATGCACAGTTATTGGATGCCGCCGGCCGGTCTTTCAATGTCCGGCTCGCCTATGCGGTTGTGTTTCTCCCTTGTTCCAGTCAGAGGCAACTAGAGGCAAGACACTAGCTCTCCATTCCATGTCTTACATCGGGCTTCAAAATCCATCGAATGAACACAAAGTGCCCCGCCGGCCGGCGATCCAAGGCCTGAACATCTTCTGAATCGTTACACCGTCACAATGCAAAGGTGCGGATCATGGTGAATCGCCAGGATCCTGGAGGCTTGAAGGCCTGATCACTGGTCATGAATGAACATGCCCTCCGACTCCGAGAACTGGCGGATCGGTGTTGGCTAGATATTTTAGACAAGGCTAAATGTGATACATGAACAGCGTTCCCGTGGTAGGATCCACTGCAATGCAGACTCCGATATTATTTATGGTCGAGTATGCCCTTTGCGTACTCCACGGAGCGCTCAAAGGTCAAAGATTGTTGACGCCCTCGGCGCAGTAACGATATCATGAGCAAACATCATTCTTCCGAGACTGTGATCCATTATTCAACATGCAGGAGAAAAACAAGAAAAGCAATACTAGGACGAGAACGAGAATCAGTATGTAGAAAGAACAACGAAAGCATGTACAATCCAAGAAACTCCGATGAGCATAATGACAGTGAAGCGCTCGATAACAGCAGCAAGCTCCATAAGTAGATACTACAATGTCAAACCAATGGCTGAATGCGATGTCCTATGTCCCATCCATGCACCCGTACATGGAACCCGAATGCGAATACACGAGAGCAGAGCGTGCGTGCGTGCGTCAGACCGTATGCAGAAAGCAGAAAGCAGTATGAGTGTATGCATGAGATGAAACGGTCTACGACATAGGCTGTACGATTTACAGTACCAGTGTCCAGCTGTACTGCCTCTTATTACCTCCCATTCCACAACGCCTCATCCACCCAATGCGACCGATTCCTTTGCAACACCGCCCTCCCACTCGTCCCACTCCCGCCAGATCCCCCTGATCCGGCCGACGACCTGGAGTGCCCTGAGCCAGATCGGTTGACCGTCGCTGACGGTGTCGGCGTGATGGACCGCATTGCGGGACCGCCCCTGTTTGATAGAGGCAGGCAGCGAGGAAACCGAAACACCCGGTGAACAAAAGGTTGTGTGTAGCCGTACGAGGAACAAATGCAGGTTTGAAGGGCGGAGCGGAGAGCGGGTGTCGGAGAGGCGAAAGGTTGAAGAGAGCCGGGTCATGCGTCATGCGTCATTGTTGAACGTGCACCAAAGAACGGAACGAACGATCGTCAGAGTCATTCAGGGAAACAAGAGCAGCAGCGGAAGCGGAAGCAAAAATCAACAACAACGAAACACCGCGGAGACGACGCAAAAAAGAAAACGACAACAAACTCGTGAAACGGAAAGCGAGAATAGACAAATCAAAAAGAAAAGAAAGAAAAGAAACTCACCCTAGCCCACGAGCAGCCTGCGCCTGAGGCCCTAGTCCCGCTCCACCCTGCGTTCTCATCTGTGGCAACGCAGACAACGACGCGCTCTCCGGTCCTCCCACCGCAATAACACGCGGACCCACCGGCCCACTCCTCATCGAGTTCTGACTATAGCTGCTCGCCCCGGAATCAGAACGATTGATCTGCTGGCCGGGTCTTGATCTAGAGGAACCAGAGCCTGTGCGAGATACGGCTGCGACGCCGCCTGCGCCTGCGACGTTCACGATACCGTCTACGGAGGGGAGACGACGGCCGGATTGGTTTGCGAGGCCGGGCGTGAGCGGGGCGCGAGCTATGCGCTTGGTGATGGCGCGGCGTTTGATGCCTACATATATGGAGGAGAAAAGGACGGGATGTTAGTGAGTGTGGGGGTGTGAGGAGGAGAGGGAGGGAGGGGGGACGCACAGAAGAAGATGGAGACGATGAGGAGGATGACGACGAGGCCGCCTACGACGGTCACTGGGATAGCGATTTGCAGATTCTGTTCGTACCACGACTTCATACCATCCACCAAATGTCAGCTATCAGATCTATAACACAGAAAATTTGGGAAATGGACGGACCTCGACAGAAGCAACGACTCCTTTGGACTGACACGTCCCGTTGTAACACATGCCTCCATAGCCACAGGGCGAGCCATCGATGAGCATGGTGTCGAGAACGACGCATTTCCCAGAGTTGCTGGGGTCTTGACAGGATACCTGGCAGGACTTGTCGTCTTGCTGTGGACAAGCATCCACTAGGTTCATCGACGAACCCAGGTTCTGGCATTGTTCTACATCAAAGGTCCACACATCAGCAAACCAAAACAGACACACCACAGACATTAAAAGGGCAGAGTTGAAGAAAGAGATACGCACGACTGAGAGAAGTACACTGCCCACTCGCACAAGCCAAACCACTCCCACAGCTCGTCCCATCCTTGACCGTCACATCCGCCGGACAACTCGCCGAAGCCCCCGTACACACCTCCGCCGTATCGCACGTCGCATTCAACGCAGCCCTACACACCTGTCCCTGCGGCGCAAACCCACACGTATCAGTACAGCACGCGCTGCTCCCCGGATCGCAGACAGATCCCGAGGTGAATTTACACGTTGACGCGTCGCAGCAGGTGGAGTTCACGCCTGATCCTGGGTCGCAGTCTTCACCTTCTTCGACGATGCCGTTGCCGCACATTTGGAGGGAGAGAGTTACGAGGGAGGGGTTTGGGGAGACGAGACAGGTGTCGTTCAGTTTGCCGGCGGAAGTGGTTCCTTGGATCATAGTACCTATATCGGATGGCGAACCCGTCAAGAGGAAGTAGGGGAAGGGGTGGGGGGAAGGACGTACAGATGTTGCCTATGGAACATTGGGAGAATTGCATCTCGCCTGTGGAAGCGGTAGGACTCATGATGAATTGCGAGCTCGAGTCGCATGTGCTCGTCGTGAGTGGACAGCAAGCACTAGTCTCGTTACATCCACTAACGCACTACAACACAGTCTCGTCAGACGTTTTCCAATAACTAAAGACAGAAAGACAAAAGCCTTACATCGTGCTGATAAAATCATGAAGTTTATTAGTATTCTGAGCCTAACCGTGGTAGTAGGCTCGACGAAACAGACTCACGATAGCCCCAAAATTATGCCCAATCTCATGCGACACGACCTGCCACTCCGTCCTCCCCGCCGTCGACACCGCCGTCCCACTAACAATAGAATCGCCACTACCACTCGAGCTCGTCTGGCACAGCGTCGACAGCCACGCGATGCCCACCTCCGTACCCGTCGGACAGCCGGACATGAGGTGCCAGAGACCGGTCCCGTCTTCACCCTTTTGGCCGCGCCATTGCGAGAAGAGGGAGAGGCGCGAGTTGAGGTCGACTGTGTTGCAGTCGACGTTCCAGGGGACGGAAGCATTGGCGGTTGTGGGACAGCTGTATGGAATATGTTTGGAATGAGGTTGGTTGGATGGATAGTAGGGTTAAGAGAGGAACTTACGTTGAGTTTTGAATCTGAACTTCCAGGATACCGAGACTGATGTTGAACGTGCTCTGTGATTCCGTCAAGACCAGCACTTCAAAGCTTCTATGACAACGATGTGACCGACCTTGTATAGTGCACTTGCGGTGTTCCAATCCGTCAAGATCTGCTGAGTGGCGTTACTCTGCGAGCCATATGTGGCGGTGTACTCGCAGTCCGCTGCGACGCCCATGTAAATCTTGAGGGAAAAGGCATCTTAGGAATCGTGAACAGAGCCAGAAAACGTTACACATGCACGTACGATCTTCTGCGACGTTGGACAGCCTGCGGTAGAACCGATGGTATTCGCAAAACTGATAGTAAATGGTCAATATCATGATAGGACGAACGAATACGGAAACTCACTTGCTGCTAGAGGAGTTACCGGCGACGTCGTCCCGTTTATGAAACAGATCCATACCGAAAGGCTCCCATACGCTGACAGGCGGAGGGATCCTCAACGCCGGATTGACACTCGGGTCAGTATTCCACTTAAGACTATCATGCCCACACGACACCGCACCCTCCTGAACCACCTTCACCCCATGCCCGCTCTTCCTTCCCTTCATGACCTCCACCTCCCCCACACTCATCACATCCGACTCCCTCCAAATAACTAACGGCGACTCCATATCCTCATAATCCACCATAATACCCGGATCCAGCTCATGCTTATTCCTCAAGTAGTTGTCCTTCGTCACGACATGATGTATCACCCCTCCCACCGAGAACGCCCCCTCGAATACCGGAGCCATCCCATCCTCCACGCTCCCCTGATGATGCACCATAATCCTCGCCCAGCCCTCTCCCTGCGGCCCCGGACTTCCCATCTTCACCCTCGCCGCATCGACCCTCATTCGCTCAGAGGACGCATGTTCGGGCACGACATCTCCATAGTATGCCTTCACGTTCTCGCGGAGGAGAGGTTCGGTATGTGAGATGACGGAGTCGCCGGACTCGGTGTTCGTGTAGTATGCGATTCGGGCGGAGGGGTGGATGAGGTGGTCGTTCGGGCGGAGATGGAGACGGTAGGTTTGACCGAAGGCGGAGAGGGTGAGGCGGAGAGAGTCGCTGTGGCGGAGGGTAGTACGGGGTAGTGGTGGTGCGGTGAGCGCACGGACGTCTATTGAACGTGAGGTAGGTGTGCGTGGTAGGATCTCGAGAGCGTGGGTGACGGGGTGGTCTATGCGTCGTATTGGACGTGGAGGTGCACTTGAAGCAAAAACTAAAGCACATAGTCAACATCAGCGATGCAGACCGGAGTGGAAAAGACCGGAGTGGAAAGGCACGCACCGAAAGCATTTGGAATGCAAGCTACGACAATAAATAAAACGGCCAGCGCGTGAAGATTGTGAAACGGTATCATGATGTATCCAAGAAAGTGAAAGAAAGAATAGAACGGAGATGCAACGAATGAACGAGGGCCGGCCTTTAGTCGCAGCGGTCGAGAGATATAAGGACCGCTGGCGCGCAGAGGACGAGCGAGGACTGCACCTGGCGAAGACGAAAGCGAAGGGAACGGTGCAGCTGGCGAAGAGCAAGCGCACTCAGATCAAATTCATTCGGTAGCCAGTTGATAGATCTCCTGCTCGGCGACGCAGCAACGGCAGTGCAACGACGACCTCTTCTCTCCCGTTGCGCTGGGCTCTAGTACTCGTCGCAAGGTCTATTCCTGTCTACACCCGGCGCCGAGAATACCGAGTGGGTCGAAAGACGTTAGGTATATGACGTTCAGGAAGGGTTGTTCAGCGAGTTATTCGGCCCTCCGACGTCCTTGGCTTTAGGCTGGCTGAAACAGTCGGGAAAAATCAAAGATACGAGCGTGAGCGGCGAGCACAACTTTCTTGATTGACGCTCAGTAACTACGTCGATCACCGCTTGCTGGGCCACTGTGGCGCCTCGACTCAAACCTGAACGCCCATGTTCTACTCTCCGTACGCTGTCCATGAGGGCCACTTCTGTCGAGCTCGGGCAACCAATCCTCTTCTAAATCTGTCTGCAAAGCTTGCAGCGAGTTTTCTCAGAGGCCAAGATCTCAATGCCAAGGGTTAGCCAAGGGCTTTGCACTCTGGCCTGGGAGGTCATCGTGTCTCTTCTGCTTCAGACCTGCACCACCGGAGAGCGAGTGTCTTGTCCTTTTGGCTGGAAAGGTTCCTTCCTAGGTCACTCATTTACCATCTCACCACTGTTTTGCCATTCTTATATGCCAATAAAAAAGAGACTATATTGAAAATCAGCGTCTTTGGGCTGGGTCCATCGACCTGCCACTCGCGGTACAGTCATGTTCTTTTTCAGCTTCTAAACAATAGGTCTACCTCTAAATCTATCGACAGGGCATATGATAGCTCACCCTGTTTAAACGGCACTGGCACCCTTGTCCTACCCTTGCCCTTACACTTTCCGAGTCAGCTCCCTTCTTCTCGATTTTCGCTTGCACTCGAAGGACACATTAGCGAACCGTTCTGGATCCTTAGGATGTCCATCTGCTATGGCATCGTCGATGATACAGACTCGACTATCCGGTACTTCGGTATGCTAGACCCGTCTCTCCTGGAGATGGGGGATGAATTCATAGTGAGTGAGTCGCTTGATTCGTTCGTATTTGTCTTGGGAAGGTAGAAGTCTGAGCTGGCTCTACCATGGTCCAAATTGACCCCTTCAATCTTTTGAAGGCCTCGCAAGTAGTACTTCGAGTTGCTCTGGATAGTAGAGATACTGACGACATATTTTCCGGGTTGTAAATCATGATGAGGCTTATATGAATGTTGTACGTTCCGCCGCTCTCGGATGACGAGTTTTGGAAACGGAGGTTTGTGGTATCATAGCATAGTATATACACATGCATCAAGCCATTGTGGACGGGTGTCATCTGTCGTGCTCTCTCCTGAGGAATGTGGCATTCTGTCAAGCTCGGAGTTCTTGTGGAATATGACTATGATGATCCCAAACCCATAAGTAAGTTGCAAAGTGGTAGGATTAGATCGAACAGGTCGGACGGGTTGTCCTGTCGCATTTCGAGACTAAGTAGACCCACGAATTGACTCTGAACATATCTAGTATAATACCTCATGACTCTTTAGTTGGCAACCCATCTATATAGGCAACCAGAAATAGGGGTGGACGATGTGGCGCCTTGCGCAACTTGAAAGATCGCACCAGTGCCACTCGGTTGATGCCGGCCGTAGCCATGGACTAGCATGGACTGTGGCGGAGCACTCATCTTCTTTTTCCTGCTCCGTATCACTTTCCCTGAAAAGTTGCTACGTCCCCGATCTCCTCATGCGAGTTTATGATGTGGCATCCATGGTAGCGATATTATATGTTGAACTCACGCTCACAGTTGGCATTATGGTCACACCACTGCTTTTCGTTTGGTTGCACGACGACTGTGTTTCGACCCGGCCCCCCGTCTCAAGCTACGGCGACATATCCTGTCATATCTCTTGATTTCCAGTGATAAAACTGGTCATTGAACTCTTCTCAGAGATACTCCTGTCAGGTGCGCTGTCTGGATGCCAACGTTTGTCAACCGTCAGGGACGCGATGAACACTGCGTCTTTGCTCTCAGGATTTGGGATAAGCTTCGTACACTACCATGTTCCATCCAAAGGGTGCTCTGATATGCTCTTTGCTGATTGGCCGAAGTACACCCTTACTGCTGGACATGTGATCTCTCTATCATCAGTGATCGTTGATCTTCTCCAGGTACAAGGACGACACAAGGCTCCTTGAATGTCGATGTCGATATCCATTCGTTGGAAGGATTATCTCGACGAACTGTATGTTTCACTGGTCTTCCTTTAGAACTACCTCGTTGGGTCAAGAGACAGCTATCCCGCTGAGCAAAAACCTATCTTCACTTCCTTCGTTCTGGTGCATCAAGCTCAACTTTTGCTCGATGATTGCATCAATCTTGGCCCCAGTCTTCCGAAAGGCTCATGTTCGTCTGCCTGCCAAAAGTCCTCTGACTTCGTCACCATTTATATGCCCGACACGGAACCGACATCATATCAGGGTCTTCACCCTGAACATAGAGCCTTTTTCCCAGCACATTCGAGCATCTCTCACACGGCGATTGATGTCCCGTAGTTTGCCATTTAAACAGCAGCATTCATCCTTCGCGTGAGTACCAGCGCCTCTGTGATCTACCTTCTCCATCTGCTAACACTGATCCTCTGTTCTAACGGACAGTAATATCACTCTTAGACTACAATGTCGACCTATGTCATTGTCGACGATATCGACCCTACCATACAATACTCTGCAATGCTCGACCCATCATCTTCTCAAAATGGCGGATGGTCTCATGGCTCTGGTGTGTCGCTTTTCCTATCTATCTTATGTCAAAACTATATTGGGAGATGCTAAGACTTGACTTTGCCTTCCTCGTAGGCGTTCGCCTTAACCCGCTCAACCCTTCATCAAGCGTGACGTACTCAGCGGAACCTGGTCTTCCAGAGTCTCTGACGTTTGAATTTTCTGGTGCGTTGGATATTACTTTAGACGTACATGCCGTCGTCGAACCAACCTTTCGATACGATTCAGGGTCCCAGATCTCCGTCATCTCGAAAATCCCCATCAACACCGATATGAATAACGCGACCACGAACGTCAACTTCTCTATAGACAGCACCGTCGTCTACTCCACCACCTGTGTCACAAACAACCAATGGCAAACGCACGTGCCCATATTCACCTCCGACCGACTTTCGGAAGGCAATCACACGCTCGAAATCTCCATATCGCCAGAACACGAAAACTCTGAGGACATCGCTGGGTCGAGCTTTCAACTGGACTACCTCATCTACGAGGCAACAGTCAATTCGACCATCGCCAATTCGACAACATCGTGGGTTTTCGTCGACGACAGCAATCCGTTCATTTCGTACTCGGTGGGCGATTGGAGTACGCCGGGCACGACGGTCTGGGTGCCTAGCACCTCCCTCACGCTGGACGCAGTCACTCTGAACCGCACCTTGACGGCCTCCACAGCCCCTGGTGCAACGATGTATCTGGAGTTCACTGGTGCGAACCATTTTTCGCTACCGCAAGACGCGCCTCGCAATTGACTGTTCTTGCTTTCACTCAGGAACTGCGATTGAAGCGTATGGAATGGTCCCGTACGCCCTCTCAGATGATTTAGATGCCGTCCTCTCCTACAGCATAGACGGTCGTGCTCCATCGAACGTGTCCATCCCATCAAGCACCAAGTCGTTTCCGCTGTACAACTGGCTCTTCATTCAAGAATCAGGCTCGACAGGGACGGATCCAGACGAAAGCCACAGCCTCGAGATCACCGTCTTCGAAGCCAACACGTTTTACCTGGATTATATCGTCGTTTCTTCCCCGAAAGCTTTTGTCGCACAAAACCTTCCCACTCATAGCTCTACGACGACGAGCTCGAGCTTAAGCTCACATGGTACGGCCGTATCGACTCCGTCGAGCTCCGTTGAACAGGCGAAGTCGAGCAGCAGTCGTGTGGGGAAGATAGTGGGGCCCGTCGTTGCAGCAGTTGCCGTCTTGGTGGGAATGGTGTTCGTCATCATCTTCCTGCGCCGCAGAAGACCGAGAGCAGCTCTCTCGAACTCTACGGACCCTCTCACGTCGGTTCGACATCGCAGCCAGCATAGTGCGTACTTTTACGTTCTCCGAGAATATGGATTTATACTGGCATACTAAATTCATCTTACTCTCTTCGAAGACTCGACCCAGATCACTCCATTCACCTCCTTCTACGACTCCGACGTCTCCTATACAGAGCGTACACCACAGCGCTTTGGCAAGGGATTCGGACAAGACATGACCCAATCCTTTGATTCCCAGGGGCTGACGCCCACGCCCACATCACCGTCATCGTTGAGGGACATACGTGCCACACCGCGGCAGCCAGACGAAACTCAGACGTTTGTGGGGAGCATGTTGACAGCGGCACCGCCTCCGAGCTATCATGCATATTAGTTCGACGTTCCGTGTTGACATTTTTCGATTTCGTTCTCAGCTAGGTCCCGTGTTATTTGGACTTGTACTTATGGTTGTTGTATGTATCAACAGACGACTTTCTCTTCTCCTCTCCTCTCCTCGTCAATCCTACTGTTGACACGAAAGAATCAGAGACTGAAAAAAGAAATATACCACGGAAGGTGCTCGGAGACTCACAACTGGACCCTGTCACTACCGCCGAGAGTGTCGTGGTTGTTAATCGCTGCAGAGCACGCTCCAGTTACTCTGTGACCGTATGCCTTCTCGACCCTTCGTCTTGCAGCCTAGGCTTGCCACGTTGCAGTCGAAGGACAGACCAAGAGTCGCTATGTCAGTGATTGAAACAACCCACCACACAACTTTTCAAGATGATTATTTCTCCAAAGTCCTCTCATATAATTGACGTCGAGCTCAGGTCGCTGGTTGTCCTCCCAAATGGGCCAATGGCAGAGCGTCGTACGTTAGCCCCTGAGATCCCGACGGTAGGCGGAACAACGCTGCGTCGTTGAACAGTGCGCAGCAAGTTGAACATACCTCGTCAACGCTCATCCATAATATCGTATATTCCTAATTTGTAAGTATACCTCGACCGTCTCTACCTCTAGTCCATAGTGCAATTCCCTCGTAGGTTTCTGATCACCTCACAGCTGTGCGAATGCATACGCATGTCGAGCGATGATCGTGAGATGAGATGCACCATACCCGTCCGACGTCCGTATTGCTATGTGCGCCACAAGGCTCTTGGCGTTACCACTAGCAGTATCAACGGAAGTCGGAAGATAGGACAGGACAGGACGAGACTCGGAAGGGACAGAAAAAACATACCGATACCGCATGCAAGTAGTTATGTTACTGTTACTTCCCTTGAATGTTTTCGAGCGAGGCCTAGGATTGACCTCCATGTGTTCGGCGACGACGACGAGGCTGAATTAAATCTTCGACTCGAATTTCCGTATCCTGTATCGCGTGCCCCTCTGAATGATTCAGACGGATGAAAGAACTTGAAATGCCCAGCCTGAGGCCACGAACAATTGTGGTGGATACTGCAACAATCAAAATGGACTCTTACAACGTCTGGATCACTGTAACGAAGAGAAACAAACAAACATACGTATCGCCTCATATCGCCCGCCCGATCGAAGACACAGATGGAAACAAGAGATGACGACGCCAAGAGGATGCATGCACATGTACGGATGAGCCAATTGTGCTTCATTGACGACGCGTGCTTCCCGGCGGCATGTACATTCTTCGCTCGTCATCCATCTCCAGTGCAATCCTTCTACATACACATCATCCTCACAAACTCGAGTCTCACGCATCAATCAATTTTTTGTTCAAGTTGCAAGGTCGTTCTGAGTTCCTAAACCACCATCGCATTCAGAGCTCACTATCAGCACGTAGCAGCACGCCTAGTTACAAAGGCAAGCAAACACGCGAAAAAAAAGAAAAGAGAAAAAGACGGATCCCCCATTGACTCATTGACGACGACCCCCAACCCATCCATCCATCCATCAGAAGCTCGGTAGCTAGGGTGACTGGCTGACTGGCGTTGTATTGTATCCGAGCTCCGAGGCCATGCCGAGGGTGAAAGGAGAGAGAGAGAGCAAAGGGAAAGGTAAAACGGAAAAGAGGGAGGGAGGAAAGAGGAAAAAACAACAACAAAGAAGAAAAGGTGGGGGTGGTATAACGAGGACAAACAAAGAACATAAACCGCACTGCGATAAATTAACTGTCCATCCTCAAAAAGCAAAACGAACAGCCTGTAAAAGCGTAACTCCGACCCGACCTCAAACCGAAAGAACCGAACCGAACCACGACATGTACAGATCCTACACCGTCATCTCATTACTGCAGCAGCGACATCAAAACGGAACCGAGAGAGAACAAAGGAAAGCAGAGCGAAAGAAGCGCTTAGTACATCTCGCGCGAGAGGAGCGACCTCCTTCCGCCCTTCTGCTTGTTCCCGCCCTTGCCCGCGTTCTTGCCGGTAGAGGCAGCAGCGGACGAAGAGGCAGCGGCAGCAGCGCCCGATGTCGCAGAAGAGGCGGCAGAGGCGGCAGAGCCGGATGCAGCGGCGCCGTTACCGCCGACGGTGAACTATCAAATTTCCAAACAAAGGGGAAACGTCAGGATCACACAAGACAGAAGGTAGATCAATCAATCAAGGGGAAAGGGGTACGCACGTAGACCTGGTCGTCGCAAGAACCGTGCTGGGCAATAGCGACAAGGACAGGCTGATGGTTAGCCGCCGAGTTGATCGACGCCATCCTATACGTTCCCGCGGGCAATCCACCGGTCACATCGACGCTAACCGCACCGTTCACAGCCGCTCCATCGACACCCTTGAAGAACGCGAACTTGGTCGGGTCCGTCGGCGTCGTCTGGGTGAGCGAGTCGAGCTGTTCGATGACGATATGTGTGTGTCCGACGATGTTGCCCTGGGCGTTGACCTGTTGGGGAGCGGAGTAGTAGTTCGAGGCGGCGTTGACGAAGTTGCCCGTCTCGAGGTTCGAGACGGCCATGGTGACGGTGAAGTCCTGGTTGGCGGCGATCGTGTCGAGGTTCTTCGGGTTCGTGAATTTACTTGACGGGATGTTGGTCGAGGCGGCGATAACACCTGTCAATGTGCGAATGCGGATGCGAACAGAAAAAAGATGCGATCTATCAATAAAACTGTACGCGACGAGGAACAAAGGCGCTCATGCAACGGGTAAAGCGGGAACCCAAAACAGATTGACAGTTGGAATGCAGAGCACGTACCCATAGGAGCGGGATTGCAGGATCCGGTGGTGATCTGCTGGCCGTTCGTGATGGGGAGGTTGGAGACGGTCGCACAGAAGTTAATGAAGTTGTTCGTCGAGGTCAACGACGCGACCTGGCCGGCCGTAGCGTTCTGCTGGCCATCGAGAGCGAAACCAGTGGCGATGACCGACTGGTCGAGAGCTAAAGATACGAAAAGCGTGAGATCAGGAACGCGCGCGAAACCGAAAAGAGGTAAGGAACGTACTCGTTGAGGCCTGGTCACCACCCGAGGTCGAGGAAGCTCCACCGTTGTTGTTGTTGTTTCCACCCTTTGCGTTTGCGGCGGCAGCGGCAGATGCAGAGGCCGAAGCAGCTGCAGCCGATGAGGAAGCAGCAGCAGCAGCGGCCGCGCCCCCGTTGTTGTTGTTGTTACCACCCTGGTTGGCGTTGCCCTGACCGTTGGCGTTGGCACCCTTGCCACCACCGAAACCGCCCTTGCCACCCTGTCTGGAGGCGAGACCGGAGAAGTCGCGAGCGACGGCGGCGGCGGTAGCTTGCTCGGCAAGCATGGGGAGAAGGAAGACGAGGGAGGTGAACGCGGCAGTGAACTTCATGATGGAAATGAAAGGGTTGGAAGGGAAGGAATCAAGGCTTCACAGAAGTCGAAATGAACGAAAGAGTGGGGTGAAGGGATCCTGAAACTAGAGATGGGTTTGTTAGTTGGTATGTTTTAGACAAGTAAACTGTGCCTTACAGAAAGAAAGAGACAAAGCAGCGCTGCTGCGTGAAAGAGAAAAGGCGAGGTGGTGGTGGAAGGGGAGTAAGAAACTGCCAAGGACAAAGCGCGGGAGATGGCGTTTATAAGGGGCAGGCCGTATCGACCGGCAGCGTCGGCTAGCAACGGTTACGCTGATTCGCAGATGCTTTTGCTTGGGTACCACACTCCAGGTTATCCACTAATTATAGAATCTTCGCTCTCAATTGGCCGCTAGTCAGTACCCTGGCGCTGATTGGCCCAAACATACGATGATGGTTGATGAAGCACTGCAGGCAACTCATATTCGACGCGACGATTCCCCTGCCGCCTTGTGCACAAACACCGCGAGAACATCTCCCTCCCTCACGACCTCCTGCCCCACGTAGTCCCCCTGGGCTATTCTCGCAAGAACACCGTGTAGCCCAGCAACGTCTGCCAACACCGGCGTCCTCCCTTCGATGTCCATCGCGTCCTCCTCCTGAAGGCGTGTACTCCGACGCCGTCCCTGACTTGTATTATCTCTCGACGCCCTCCTCGGCCGGTTAGCTGGTGTGATGTGTGGCGGTGGGGTCCGTGCGTGTGATGATCCCCGGACAGGGCCCAGGAGAGAGGACGGGGGGAGGGGATCGTAGGCAGAAAGCGGTGAGGGATAGATGTGTGGGATCAAATTCTGGTGTGCGAGGTAGCGATAGATCACATCTGTCGGCAGCTGGCTGAAATCCAGCTGCGATGACTCGTATAACCCCATCAGTTTACTGTCTTGTCACCCGTCCGCGGAACACCCAAGAGGCGAAAGACACTCACCAACGATTCCCGTGCCTCCTCCTCGCCCTCTGCTCCCCGGCGCGAACCCTGTGCTGTCCCAGCTCCATTCGCGTTCGCAACTAGAGTCGTCGCTGTCCCATCCACGCGCTTCCTCTTCACGCGCCCATCACCCTCTGCCTTGTCTGTTGCGTGACGCTTGCCACCGAGACCGGAGGCGCCGATGTAGGGCCTCTCGTCGTCGTTCATCTTCTTCCGGCTTTGTACGTTCCGTGGTTTCGTAGCAGAGCCGTGACCGCCATTGTTAGCAGAGGTAGATGCTGTGGGGGGAGCCATGATGATGGTGGTGAGACGAAAGCAAGTTGTACAAACCGTAAAACGCGTCTCGACTTGGGTCTCGACGCGCGACGCGTGACTGCGCTCGATGTGGCGCGGTTGCTGTTCTCAATATTTTTGCGCTTTGAATTTGCACGAGTCATTCCACTCATCCTCTTCAAACCACGACAAAGCAGATCTCCTTTCAGGCGCTGTCCCTGTAAGAGCGTTTGCTAACAAAGACATACTCATCGTACACTCCGTCAGTAATCTGCTCTATTCCGCGCCTAACGGCCCACTGACTGATCCATGGCGCTGTTCGCTTTATAAATCTCCTCCTTAACGCTCGGACCTACAACAGCTCATAAAAAAGCGACCGTCGAGTTCCATTTTGGCGCTCCCCAGCTAGCTATCCATCCAACGCATCACCGACTGTACATCTGAACGGTTGCTGTCACCCACTTCACGATGTCTACCTTCGGTACTCTCTTTCGTGTCACTACCTACGGCGAGTCTCATTGCGCCTCGGTCGGAGCTATCATTGATGGATGCCCGCCTGTGAGTTTTTTCTCATACATTTCTCCGAATTTTCTCGTCCTCGGGTTCGCCGACTTGAATTTTCCACGAATTTTCCTCGTTTTCATCTTGCTGACTTGAACTCTCTTTTTTTAGGGCCTTGAACTCTCCGCAAAGGACATCCAGGTCCAGCTCAGCCGCCGAAGGCCCGGCCAGAGCAACCTGACCACGCCCGTAAGTCATGGCCTACCACACCTCTTTCATCTTCCCCGTCCGTTGCTCTACTTTACTACATCGCGATACGAGTAACATTCCCATCCTTCCTCACCTTTCCCATTTCTCGTTCCACCGCTTCGCCCTGCCTGCCTCCTATGATTTTACCGTTTATCCACTCGTTCGTTCGTTCTATCCACCTTCCGATCTCGACCGGGATCACCGTAGCCCGAACTGCCCCCATCTTCCCATCTTCCCAATCTTCCCATCATTTCGATTTCGTCTCCTTCTCTTCCTGTTTCCTGTTCCCGGCTTGCTTCACTACTGTCACCGTCGTCGCCGCCTCCTGCCCCGTATACCCAAACTCAGCCTTACCCTTTTAACATTTCCCATTCCCTTCTCGTTCTTACTCGTGGCGTTGATGTTTGACTCGTGACCTGTGCTTTCCTCTGCCACTTTCCCTTCCGACTGTTCCACTACCCCTTTGCACGCCCAGATGTCCGGATGTCCTTGCTATGTTACCGATCCGATCCCCTCTCGCTCACTCATGATCATGGCTTACTTTCCCTCTGATGGGATCTAATGTACCTATAAACACCCCCGTGACCACCTGACCACCTATTCTTATTCGCATCCCTATTCGCTTCTATTTTTATCTCTTTGTTCCTCCTCCTCGTTCTCCTCCTTCCAAACTCACATCTCCTCCCCCTCTTCCTCCTCCTCTTCCTCTCCCCAATTACAAACCACTTCTCCCTCTCTCCTACCACCCACTCGAACGCTAACCCCCCACCCCCACCCACAGCGCGACGAGAAAGACCTCGTCCACCTCCAATCCGGCCTCGAACACGGCATCACCCTCGGAACCCCCATCGGTCTCCTCGTGAAGAACGAAGACCAGCGCCCGCACGATTACAGCGAGACGGACCTGTACCCCCGTCCGAGCCACGCGGATTATACGTATTTGGAGAAGTATGGGGTTAAGGCGAGTAGTGGAGGGGGGAGGAGTAGTGCGAGGGAGACTATTGGTGAGTTTTTGCGTTTTTTTTGTGGGTTAAGGGGGGATGGGGAAGGGGGCTTGATGTGGCGTTTCGTTTTCTGTGGCGTACGACCTCGCAACATATTTCCAGCCGTCCATCTGTCTGCTCATCCATCCATCCATCATGTCTGCCACCCCCCACTTTGTTCATCTTTTGTTCTATCTGATGTCTGTTGTCTGTTGTGCCTCTCCATCTCCCCCTCACCTTCGATCATGTTCTCCCGCTCTCCTTCAATCATTTTTTTCCCGAGTTTCGGTTTCGCTCACGGAACAGTTAACTGACCGTTTGATTGTTCGATCTATGTTCCCTATCCGCCGTCTGCATCACGTCCCGCCGCTTTCGCCCCTCGTCTGGTCTTCTGCTCATCGCGCATCCATCCACCCGTCCACCCCACGCACTCCACCTCGACCCCCCCCTCCCCCCTCCACCAAAACCCCTAAACAGGCCGCGTCGCCGCCGGCGCCATCGCCGAACGTTACCTCTCCCAAGCCTACGGCATCGAAATCGTCGCCTTCGTCTCCTCCGTCGGCAAGATCCACCTTCCCTCCTCCGTCTCCGCTCCTAGCGCCCAGGGAGGTAATGAAAGCACCAGCGCCGACGGGGAGGATAACGATAATGACGATACGGAGGACGCGTTGAGCCCCGAGTTTGTTAAGTTGTTGAAGAGCGTGACGAGGGCGGAGGTGGATATGTTTAGTACGAGATGTCCGCATGAGGAGACGAGTGAGCGGATGATTAAGGTTCGTTTCTCTTCCCTTCCCATTCGTTCCATTCCGTACTCCGTAAACTAACTCACGTCCCCCTCCCTCCCGCCCACCCTCCTGCCCCGCTCGCTCGCTCGCTCGCCCACCCACCCACAGCGCATCATCCGCGCCAAAGACTCCTCCGACTCCATCGGCGGCACCGTAACCTGCATAATCCGCAACGCGCCCACGGGCCTCGGCGAACCCGTCTTCGACAAATTCGAAGCCAAACTCGCACACGCCATGCTCTCTATCCCCGCCACCAAAGCTTTCGAGATAGGGTCTGGGTTCAGGGGGACGGAGGTTCCGGGCAGTAGGCATAATGATGCGTTTGTGCTGAAGGATGAGAAGGATGGGAAGGGGAAGTTGGGGACGAAGACGAATTGGAGTGGGGGGGTGCAGGGGGGGATTACGAATGGGGAGGATATTTATTTTAGGATCGGCTTCAAATCCCCCGCCACCATCTCCCAAGCCCAACCCACAGCGCAATACGACGGCACCTCAGGCTCATTGGCCGCCCGTGGTCGTCACGATCCCTGTGTGGTGCCGCGCGCGGTGCCCATTGTGGAGGCGATGGCGGCGTTGGTGGTTATGGATATGATGATGATGCAGGAGAGTAGGAAGGCGATGGGGGGGAGGTTGGGTGGGAAGTGAGCGTGCTAAGGGGGGGACGAAGGGAGAGGGTGCGAGGAAAGGAGAGGGCAGGGCCGCTGAAGCCTGTGCGGAGGCGGATCCTGCTGAAAGAACAGAAAGAAAGTGCGAGATGCGAGCGTTGCGAGGTCCGACGGGTCACGCTGTCGTGCTACCGTCTCCTCACAGTACAAAGAATATAACTTAGAATTTAGATAGAGATAGAATGAATAGCATGTGGTTTGTGGTTTGTGCTCTGTGTTTTATGCTTTTCGGAGTGTGTGTTCTAGGGACGTGCTGTTCCGATGTGATGCTTAAGAGGTCTTAGAGACCCGGTGGATAGTGGACAGTCGAGAGCGCAGCGAATGCTTGCAAGGCAGAAAAAAAGTACATAGGATAGTGATAAAAGGATCTTCTGGTAAGTCAGTACACGGATCCACAAAAAAAGGACAGACGAGACGCATAGGTTATAAGTTAGATCAGAGCGAAGGGGTAGCAGGAGGGATAGCGTGTTTTGTATGTACGCATGAACGGGGAGTATAACGTCGGACGGATATTCGAATAAGACAGGACGGTAGGACTAGACAGGACAGGATAACACAGCACAACACAACACAAGGCAAGTCAGAAGGAAGAAGGAAGAATTGAAGGAAGCGACGCGGAAGACGTCGAGCAGGGACACGGAAATGGTACATTTTGGATCGTGAGAGCTCGTGAGTACTAGTGGTGGCCGCGGAGGGCGGTAAGTAAGCCACGGTAAGGCGAATACAGACAAGGACACGGACAAGGTCAGGATGCGGCGGAGAGAGGGAATGAAACCGTCGTCTTGGTGTCGATTCAGAAGAAGGAAGTCGAAGAGGATGAATGAGGTCGATGTGGGTCGCGTGCTTTGTACACGTTAGACCGGGGTGGTTGTGTGGCGCATTCTGAAGGTACCGGTGGGCACGGTTGGTAGTGGTAGTAGATGAGGGAGGGAGAGGCGGTAGGGCAAGATGGGTGAGTATTGAATCATGAGGAAGGAAGGAAGGAAGGGTGTCATTCAATCTCCTCGTCTGACTCGTCCGTACAGCAGCAGCAGAGCTTCGTCTCGACCTGCCACCACCACCACTATTGCCGTGCCATCGTACCACACGCACGCATATATCCATCCACCACGACACAACACGACACGACACACCGCAACGCACGAAAGAACGAAGGAAACATTGAGCATCAATTCCAGATGTGCAAAGCATACACTCACATGTCGATTCCAAACCCTCCAAGGCCACTTCCCAAACAACACGTCCTCCCACTCCTCCTCCCCCATCTCCCCATCCCCATCCCCACCCTCCTCCTCTCCTTCCTCTCCATCCCGCTCCTCCCCCGCTCCCCGGGCCAACAACGGCCGCCTCCCACTCCCACTCCCACTCCCACCCCCATTCCTCCGCCTATATCGTTGTGCTTGTAAGATCCCAACCCTCCGCACACCCACATCTTCCGGATATACATATTCCTCCTCTTCATCCTCGCTGTTCTCCTCGTCTTCGTACCCTCCATACCCGTGCCCATATCTCGTTCCGGTCCCATTCGACCCAGACCCATGAGATGCGTGAGTATTTGACCCAGACCCAGGACCAGGACCAGGGTAGGAAACCGTCCTCCGTCTCCCACCTAGGCTTCCACGTCGGATGTTGGATCCATAAGCAGCGGGTAAGCGGCCTCTCGTCGGCGTCAGGGGCGTGCGTTCGCCCATTCCTGATCCCGTTCTCTCTCCTTCTACCCCCATCCTCTCTCCTTCTGCCCCCACTCCTGAGCCGTCCCTATCTCCATCTCCCGCCACCGCCCCATCCGACTTATATGAATATGAATGTGAAGTAGAACCGGAACCAGGATCGGGATGTTCATGTTGGCTAGAGGGAGTGGAAGCAGCCCAACTCATCTTCGCCTGTCTCTTCTGTAGCGCATTCGCGGCTAATAACGAGATACGCTGGACGAGTGGCCCTCTCGGCGTGTTCTCGTCGGGCTGGCTTCTCAGAGGCGCGGAGATGGAGGAGGAGGGAGACGAAGAAGAAGAACTTGTATACTCCTCGCGGGAACGGGAACGGGAATGCGAGAGGGAGTGCGGGGCTGGGTGGGAGTGGGAGTGCGTGAGGGGGGGACGGGTGGAGGGGGATTGGGAGGGGTACGGTGGCGCCGATGAGGTGGAAGAGGAAGAAGGGTGCGGGGTATGTTGATGTTTCTTACGTAGTCCGGACGCGATACGGACGCGCGAGTGGAAACGCACGCGGTTCAACGTCGTTGGGGCCTCCTGTGGTCGGTCTCTGTGCTCGGGGTTGGGTGTTAGAGGGCGGGAGAGCAGGACGGGGATCGGGACATCCTGGGGATGGGCGTCTGGGTTTTGGCTGGCGTTAGGGCTGGGTTCGGGCTCGACGAGGGCGTAGGTGCGGTTTATGGCTATAGCATACAGTGACAGTGGAATGATGAATATTCAGTATTCAATAAACCCGTACGGATAGGATGACGCACCGGTCGTCGCACCACCCACAGGAACCTCCCCATCCCCGTCGTCGACTTCCGAATCCGAGTCGAGTCGAAGTTGGAGCGCGTTCCCCGCCATGAGCAGCGTCGACCCGTTCTTCTTCCGAGCGCCATTCGTGGTGGTCAGCGGGGAGGGAGTACGTCCAGGACCGGGATAGGAGCTTCGACGTTGTTTGGGGTGAGGAGGGTTTCCGTTTGAGGTCGGGGTCGGGGTGTTGGTCGGGTCTGATGCGGAAGGGCTGGGGGTACCGGTATGGGAGGATGGAGGAATCGTCATGATGTGATGACTCGTATTACAGTCTAAGTACACCGTGCAATGCTCGAGGACGCTGGCAAACCACTCCTCTCTCACTCGAATACAGTGTCGTGGGTGGGTGGTGGTGTGGGGTAAAGGACGCAAAGCAAGATCAGGTCACACAGGAAAGCTACTTGCACACCCCGGGGCGACAGTGGACTTAAGGTTGTCGATGCGCCATTGCAATGTGCGCACCGAAAACTCGCAGGAGGGGCTTCACTGAGCTGATAAGATGAGAGCTCTGATCAAATGACCAGCGGTGGCCGATCTAGGCCTTTGGGGTCGTTTGCCGGCGGGGTCGAGACGGTTTCTCAGGCACGCGGTGGGTTTGTAGTGTGTGGGGAATTTGATTTGAGGATGGTTCAAAGCGTAGACTCAGACGACGATGGTTCTGTTTATTGTCCTCTTGGGCTTGAATACGTATTGGCTGGTTGGACGTAGGGGATCGTTTCGTGGTCCATCGTATTGGCGGTCATCTATGACGGCGTGGCCCAGTTAAAAGGAGAGCGGTCCGAGTGACAGTGTTATTTTCTACACCCGCTCCGAGTGACTCCTTCACTTCGACCTATAAATTATCTTCCGCTTCCCGCTCGAAGCCTAAGCTTGAAAGCTTGAGCATCCGGACGTCAAGCTATGCGTTGTTTGAGATAGACATCGATAGGGTAAAGGCAACAACGAATGTACAGAACAAGACTTGCACGACAGCATCAACCGACGATAGCATGTAAAGTAAGGGGTCACCATGTGTAGACAGAAGAATCATCGAGAAAGATGAAGGCATATGACGAGTTGAATGGGATAGCGTAGCGAGCGTATCACTTCAAGAGCAGATCTGTGGACGCTCCTTCGTGTGGCGTTGACACGCGATTACAAATTCCTGATGGTCCGCGTCGGCGTTTGAATTTGGACATGAACACGCCTTTGCTGCCGAGCGCAACCAGGACCTCACCTTTCTCCATCGCTGTCGAGGATACGGACTCGGAAACACTACCTCTGAAGTCCTAATATTCACTCCCACCGAATGTCCTTGAATGCTAGACCCACTCTTCCCGTCGAAATGCTCAGCGAGATCGTCGCCCTCGCTGCGTTCGAAGCAGACTCAAGGCCCGAGTTGCTGTCTCTCTGCCTTGCTAGCCGTGTCTTTCACGAGCTCTCCATCCGTCATCTTTACCGTACCGTAACGATACGCTGCTCTGACCGGTCGATAGCAGATCGAAGTATAGAGCCCAATAGTAAACGACCGGTGTTTCGCAGCTTTCAGCTATGTAGGACCCTGCTTCAAAGCAAGTATCACGTGAAGGAGTTTGTTCGTAGCTTCACCATCGAGGAAGCGCCTTGGTACGTTCCCAAAAATCGAATATCCTACCATACCTTAACATTAATAACTTCAACATGCAGTCACACCAGCGCCGAGTTGATCTCGGATGTTCTATCGGACCTGCCGCATCTGGAGTCCCTTTGTTTCGACATCCAATTCCAGAAATGCGAATCTGGATGTGACGTTCTCGTTCTCTATCCTTGTCGGGCCGGCCACCGTTTCGAAGACCCAACAAAGTTCCTGTCGAAGGTCACGATTCCTACACTTCAGAACTTCAAGGTCGAAGCAGAAATGGTCCACTCTCCTACCGTCACTCGAATCCTACAGCGCCACGCCCAGTCGCTGCACACCGTCGAACTGAGTATCGGAGACATCGAGGAGCCAGCCAATAGTCTTTTTTTCCAATGCGTCGTCACGTGGGCGTATACCCTGCCCGGGCTTGGAGCTCTCGCTTCCTATGCTAAAGAAATTCACCGCGCCGTGTCCGTATTGGGAGCTTCTCGATCCGCAGGGCAGCCCGATGTTGGTGGACGCAGCGGTACTTAACACTCCGATGCTACCTGACGATGCTCTGCATCTGCTGCGACAATACCCTCGGATCCATCATCTACGTTTTCAGCTGCCAAATAAGGTGAAGGAGACGAAGCGTTGTTTGCGCTTAGTGGGGGGGCAATGGGCGATCCGCCAACTGGTGCTTCAGTATTCGGGATGCTCAGATGGAGACTCTGAAACCGTGAGTTCCTCCTCAGGTGATAGACTGATGGTACCCTTCGTTTGCTCGCAATCGCGACAGAAATTACTGAAAGTGATCGCTAAATCGCTCAAGGAATTCAACTTCACGGCACTCGAAACCCTGGTTATTGTCACGCCGGTTGTGTTCAGCGGCTATCTGCCGTTGAATCACGAAGAGAAGATGGCAGTCCCACAAGTTCTTGGTGGTGCATGTCCCAATCTACGTGAAATGGTATGGGGTGAGTTTCCCTTTTGCTCATGTCCCCCGTCAGTCGAACCTGTGTTTTCCTCACCGTGAATGTGAGGAGTGAAAAAGAACACCAGACTGACTCGGACATGTTACAGCCGTTTGCAGTACCGAAGGCGCGACGCGGATTTCTTCTCAAAACGGTCGTTTTGGATTCTCCGGTATATTTCAGTCGTAGCGGCCTCAAACCGTGAAGGATCTTCATGGAAGTTGGACCGGTCTGTTCGCACTGCTTGTGCGCAGGCAACCATGTTTTCAGATTTTTTCTCCGATGTTTTGTTGTAATTGGTAGGGTACATAAGCAAGTGTTTTGTATGTACGGCTTTCTCATGGAAAAAATACATTATATATTTGCTTTTCTAATTGAAAGTGTGAGTACTAGTAATTTAAAGGGAATCATGTACTTTATACCATGGTAGGTAGCCGCTAAACGTTCTGAACCGGGTTGAGGGAGGTGAGAAGTGCAAGCACATATTTCGCCTATATAATGCCCAATATGTCGTTCCCTATTTTGATACTCCTTCTGAGGCACCCGATGAGAATTGCAAAGGTGATCCCGTATTTATATCACTGAAGAAAAGACACAGTGGGCGGGGCCACATACACAATTCTTGAGGGGAGTGGGTGGCGTTGCTGTGAATGCTCTCCGGGCCGCTCTCCCCGCCTCGAAAATAGCGCGGTGCCACATTCTCCCCTGTGCAACGACCTCTGTGGCCCGCTTCACTGTGTCTTTCCTTCAGTGATATAAATACGGGATCGCCTTTGCAATGCTCGTCGGGTGCCTCAGAAGGAGTATCAAAATAGGGAACGACATATTGGGCATTATATAGGCGAAATATGTGCTTGCACTTCTCACCTCCCTCAACCCGGTTCAGAACGTTTAGCGGCTACCTACCATGGTATAAAGTACATGATTCCCTTTAAATTACTAGTACTCACACTTTCAATGAGAAAAGCAAATATATAATGTATTTTTTCCATGAGAAAGCCGTACATACAAAACACTTGCTTATGTACCCTACCAATTACAACAAAACATCGGAGAAAAAATCTGAAAACATGGTTGCCTGCGCACAAGCAGTGCGAACAGACCGGTCCAACTTCCATGAAGATCCTTCACGGTTTGAGGCCGCTACGACTGAAATATACCGGAGAATCCAAAACGACCGTTTTGAGAAGAAATCCGCGTCGCGCCTTCGGTACTGCAAACGGCTGTAACAACTAGATGACTGGTATTGGGGCCCGCGGGCTGAAAAAGAAGTGTTCCCCTAGCTTATTTATCCAGACAGTTGCGCCTTATTGCAGCTGTCACGACCGACCTCTAATGTCTGAGAACGACATTGGTTCATGGTGTTAGCAACACGCGGACGTAGTTTACCGCTCGTAATATATCTCACCTTCGTCATCGCCACCTATATGGACGCTCTCCCTTTACCAGATCAACTTACAGATACAGTACTAATGATCAGACGAGATACAAGAGGTCTAGGTTCTTCCCTCGTGTTACGGGCAAGTTGTATCTGGCCTGCCGCCATACAAGTTCGACTCGATTCACCATTCCTCAGTAATTCCATACACTTCGATGACCACTACCTACCCAGACACCCTACCGTCCATCTCTACGACCCACGATCCACCAAAATTATGACGCACGCCAACCCACCCACTCCTCACGCCACGCAGACCACGCCCCAGCTAGTAAGTGCGTACTGAGGTTCAAAGAACTGCCGTATACCACTCACACTTCGATTCCTCACCTCCCCTCGGATTCCGCATCCCACTCACTCCAGTATCTCTCGCTCTCCTCATCTTCCTCATGTTATTCCTCTCAGCCACCTTGCTCTCCGTCACGGTCGTCATCCTCATAACACCCCTCGTCCTCCTCCTCCGAATCGCTGTCCTCATCCAATCCATAGACGTGTATACGACTTTTCATCCCCACACGCTCCGCGAACTCTTTAATTGGGGAAGATAAATGCAACGCGTGAAGACGCGAACCGTTCTGCCGTGCACGCGTCTTCAAATGCTTCAGTGCTTCCATGAGCTGCATTTCGTCGCGCTCGATTTGTTGGAGCTGCCACGGTGCGTCCGTGGATGATCTGATGGATGGCCCGGGATGATCAAAGTAGATCGAACGAAGCTCGGGGAAGAGCAAGAAGTCCTCCGCACGGTGACTCGGAGTTGGGTACTCAGACTTTCCGTTTGGGTATACATACGGCACGCCGGCGAGCGCTTTGGCGAGAAGGAGGAACCCTTCGAGTGACGACTCGAAGCGGAACGTGCGTACGTTCTGAAGGGGGAAACAGGGGTCGAGCCAGCGGTAGGCGGATGGCGAGGAAACGGTTATGGTGAGATCTTGAACGTGAGATAGGGGGAGCGCGCGGGTGTACATCGCTGGGATATCCCTTCCTAGCATGAAGTCCGCATCCAATCTGAACCATCCGAGTTCCAGAACAAAGATAGGCAGAGGCGCGGGAGCCTCCGAGAAACAGTGCCACTCGATGATCCTTGTAGAGAAGACGATCTTGAGCGTTGAGACTGGGTCAGGGCGGACATGGAAGAGATCAGGATTTTCGCGTGACACGAAAGAGTGCATCAACTCCCGGACATCGTCTTCTGTATCCTGTCGGACAGGTTCATTCAAGACGAGTTGAGACACAGACAGTGGAGCAGATAGAGCGCGGAAGAATGCTAGGCAAGATTTTGTATCGATGTTTCGTAATGAGATGTCTGTGAGACCAGGAAGAGCCAAGGGTAGAGAGTTGGAGGATGGAGAAATGTCGAAGGTGGCGGGATCATCACCGCGTATGTGCAGAAGTTGGAGATTGGGTGACTCGCGGAGGAGATGACACAGATTCTGGAGTCTCCGGACATCCCTGGGAACCTGACCCGGTGACTCGAAGACCGTAGGGGGGAGGGAGGATAAGGACAGCTCTCTCAGGTCGCAAAAGAGAGGAGAGATCGGTTGTACGGAAAATATGATGTTGCCCTCCAGGCTGAGCTTCTTCAAGCGCGGCGTACAGCCGCAGAATAGAATCGGAGGAAGTGTGACCGGAGCATTCGCGATCAGCCTGAAGACCTCTAACGCGGGGGCAGGCTTGTCGAGAAGCTCATCCATCGCATCCATAACTTGAGCGAGGGTGTTTGAATCATCGGGCTCATAGTCTTCAAAGAATTCCACCGCTAGATGTACGAGACGCGGCCATACGTTGTAACGAGAAAATAGCTCGCGATACAAGGAGAAGACAGTCTTCTTCTGGCTGTTCCGATTGGCGTCCCGGTTGGCAGCGACGTACGTCGAGTCGGTTTGACGTGTAAGATCACTTGGAGCAAACCGTAGTTCAAGGCGAAGAGGAGACTGCTTGGATCGGGCGAGCAGCGCCTCGAGTGCAGTGCATGTACGAATGTTGATGCAGGTAGCCCAGAGACTAGAATCTGCAAGGGCTGTATTTCGCCAGCGACGGCAAACATACGTGACTTTGATCCAGGGGACACCAATACAGAACCCTCCAGCACATTTTCAGTCTTCGGAATCGCAGTTCGAGTAAGATGCCAAGTCCAGAGAGAGGGTTTTGAAAATACCGACGAGGATCTCGGGGGGAAGGCGTGAGATGGGTCGAAGGCTGTTCTGAAACTCTCTGAAGCGCTGTATTGCAACGTATAGGTCGTTGATCTCGAGATCGACGAGCTCGAGGAGGCCCGGTCTGGATCCCGACGATGCGTTCGAAATCCAATCTCTGGCCATCGAGGACCACTGAGGTCCTCGAAGAGGTCTGGAAATCATGTGTATGAGGGAGAGAAATCACTCCAGGCCACATTAGTATAAGCACGCACGTCTCTGATCCTGTCTTTTCTCCTGACATATTGTGCAGGGCTCGAACGCTAAGGATCTAAGTGCACGGTTGAGTACAATTATCACGACACACCTTAGTGAGCGACGACGTACCGCGAATTGTTTAAAGATTGTCCAGGTATAGCGTATTAGCACGAGTACTAGGGAGTCCGGGAGCAAGGGTGAAGAACAAGACACAAGTGTCCGAGGTGATCTAAACGCCTCCTGCTTAGTCAAGCCCTAACCCTACACCTCCCAGACTTCGCCACCCTCGCCACCCTCGCCACCCTCGCCACCACGCCTCTCTCTGCTCCCTCCGAGTCCTGGTCCATGCATACAACCGCCTGCGCATCCCGCCTGCAGCCATTTCACTGGCTTAGTAGACCTCTCAGCAAACATGGCCTATCCAACCGACCAATATCCAAGCACAAGAGGACGGTGAACAAAGTTATCGTCGTCCTGGCACCTCCACCTGCCAGTGCGCTTTGAACTGTCGTCCGAGCTTCCGAGTGCTCGGTGTGGCCTTGCGCTATCCATGACCTCGAGGGTGAGATAGTCCCCGGTGAAGGTTCCAATTTTCCATGAACATCGACCAACGGGCGAAGATATACTTATGGGTGTCGTGAAGTCAGCCTGTGGTCATCGGGTTGCTCATGTGTGCTAAATTCTCAGTGGCGAGTGCCTCAAGGCGTTTAGATGACCCTAGATGACCTAGTCCATCTCTGCCTCGTCCTGGGAAACTCCCCCCTTGCTCTCAATCTCTCTAGTACTCGTGCTAATACGCCCTGCCCGGCCAATTTCTGAACAATTCACGGTACGTCGCCGCTCACTACTTTGTATCGTGATATCCTACTCAACCGTGCACCTATATCGCTGTGTTGCAGAATCTGTCAGCGACCGACTTTGAGCGTTCGATCCAGACCTAGATGTCAGAAGAAAAGACAGGATCAGAGACGTGCGTATTTGTTCTACTGTGGCCTGTAGTAATTTCTCTCTCTCAAACACACAATTTCCAGACCTCTTCGAGGACCTCAGTGGTCCTCGATGGCCAGTGATTGGATTTCGAACGCATCGTCGGGATCCAAACCGGGCGTACTCGAGCTCGTGGATCTTGAGATCAACGACCTAGCCGTTGCAATGCGGCGCTTCAGAGAGTTTCAAAACAGCTTTCGACCCATCTCACGCCTACCTCCCGAGATCCTTGTCGATATCTTCGAAATCCTCTCTCTGGACTTGGAATCTTACTCGAACTACCATTCTGAAGACTGCAAATGTGCTGGGGAGTTTTGTATTGGTGTCCACTGGATTGGGGTCACGTATGTTTGCCGTCGCTGGCGGAATGCCGCCCTTGCAGATGCTAGTCTCTGGGCCGCCTGCGTTAACGTTCGTACGTGCGCTGCACTCGAGGCGCTGCTCGCCCGATCCAAGCAGTCTTCTCTGCACCTTGAACTGAAATTTGATCCCAACGATCTTAACTGCGAGACCGACTCGATGTACGTCGTTGCTAACCGGCATGACAAGGACAGCCAGCGCACGACCTTCTCCTTGTATCGCGAGATATTTTCTCGTTACAATGTATGGCCTCGCCTCGTACATCTTGCGGTGGACATGTTCGAAGACTTTGAGATCGAGTACCAAAACACCCTCGCTCAAGTTATGGATGCGGTAGCTGAACTTCTCGACCAACCTGCCCCCGAGTTAGAGGTCTTGAGGCTGACTACGGAGGGACTTGTACATGTTACACTTCCTCCGATTCTGTTCTGTGGCTACACACCGCGCTTGAAGAAGCTCAGCCTGGAGGGCGACATCATATTTTCCATACAACCGATCTCTCCTCTCTTTTGCGACCTGAGAGAACTATCTTTATCTTCCCTCCCCCCTACGTACTTCGTCTCACCGGGTCAAATTCCACAGAATGTCCAGAGACTCCAGAATCTGTGTCATCTCCTCCACGAGTCACCCAATCTCCAACGTCTGCACATTTCGCAGCCCATACGCCGTGTTGACCCCGCCACCTTTGATATCGCACCCTCCTCTGACTCTCTACCCGTAGCTCTTCCTGGCCTTACAGATATCTCATTCAAAAACATGGACACAAAATCTTGCCTAGCACTCCTTCGTGCTTTATCTCTCCCGCTGTCTGTGTCTCGACTCGTCTTGGATGACCCTGTCTCAAAGGATTCCGAAGACGACGTCTGGGAGCTGATGGGCTCTTTCATGTCAGGCGAAAATCCCGATCTCTTCTATGCCCACCCAGACCCAGTCTCGACACTCAAGATTGTCTTCTCCACAATGATCGAATGGCACTGTTTCTCAGAGGCTCTCTCGCCTCATCCCATCTTCGGTTTGAAACTCGGGCGGTACAGATCGGAATACGATCTCGACATCAGACTAGGAAGGGACATCCCAGCGATGTACACCCGCGCGCTCCCCGTGTCTCACGTCCAAGATCTCACCATAACCTTTTCATACCAGTACGACTACCGCTGGCTCGACCCCTGTTTCCCCCTCGAAAACGTGTCCACGCTCCGCTTCGACTCATTCCTCGGAGGGTTCCTCCTTCTCGCCAAAGCGCTCGCATGTGTACCATATGCAAACGGAAGGTCAGATTATCCAACCCTGAGTCTCGGGAAGGAAGACTTCTTGCTCTTCCCCGAGCTTCGTTCCATATACTTTGATCATCCCGGGCCACCCGTCAGATCATCCACGGGCGCAGATGCACCGTGGCAGCTCCGAGGAATCGAGCGCGATGAAAAGGAGCTCATGGAGGCATTCGATCATTTGAAGATGCGTGCACGGCAGAGAGGTTCGCGTCTTCGCGCATTGCATTTATCTTCTGCGATGCAAGAGGTCGCGGAGCGTGTGATGGTGGAGAGTCGTATTAATGTCTATGGTTTGGATGAGGATACTGATTCAGAGGAGGAGGAAGAGGAGGAGGGATGGTATGAGGATGATGACCGTGACGGGAACCAAGGTGGCGAAGAATATCATGAGGATGAGGATGTGGAGGAGAATGAGGATGAGGATGAGGATGTGGAATCCGAGAGAGATGTGGAATCTGACGTGACTTTAGACTGGGGTGAAGAATTACTCCGAGCAGGACTGTAGTATCACTGGCAGCTAGTATTCCTGTACCTTGTACTCTACAACTGTAACGGCGAACTCGGACGGTGAATATGAACCACAACTTATTCAACAAGTAGGTGGTTGTGTGCTGTAACAGGCTCGCCGTTCGAAGATCAGACCAAGTATGGCCGCCAAGTGGCATCGCCCGCTGGTCGCTTACGCTTTCGCACCAGGCTGGAATATACTCGCCGTTTTGGCATGCTCTGCTATACGCGGCGGAGTGACTCTCAAATCACACAACAAGTACTATTCATTGTGTTGAGGTACTTACATCATTGTTACATTGTTTCAACCCAAGTACTATTACTGAGTAAGTATATCCGCGTTAGTTGGTGTTCACGGGAGGGTAGCTTCGGCTCTCGATTGTGATGCAAGCACACTAAAGACATAGCGTACTACTTATTCGCGGCATAGGCATCATTTTCGAATTCGGGCAAGGAAGTGGTACGGTCATGAGCACGAGAGATCGACGATGGAACAAGTGAAGGCATTGCTGAATAGTACTTATCACGCAAAAGACTGAGATGCAGCAGCAAAGAAGAAAGCGACTAGACGGTCGGGACGAACGTCGTCGAAGCAGAACTGGACATGGACATGAGCCATGGGTTTCGCCGAAGGCGTGAGGATCAAGTCTGACATCAGGCTAACGTTGTTTGCTGTCCTGCGCCACTCGGGTGCACCAAAAAGAAAAAAAAATCTGACATCAGGTAAGACAAACCAGAATAGTCGATCGCCTGCGAAACGGAAGCACTTTTCAGACCTACCTAAGACCCACTACAGTAGTAGCGTAGCGGGAATAATTCGTTGTCTATCAGTTCGAGCATGCGCATGGCCTCAACTTGAACCTATGGATTCAGTCGCTTCAGAGTACATCTTCGCCCGTTTGCCGTGGACCATACAAGTTCCGAGGACATCTCGCCAGAGCCTATAGATAGCACACCGAGAACTAGTAATGCATTCTTCATTCCATTTCCATACACCTCGACCACGCACAACCAACAATCCACACAACAAAACATTACGACGCACGGCCCCTCCTCACGCCCCGCGGACCACGTCCCATCTAGTAAGTACGTACTTGCTCTCCTCTCCTCTCTCACGAGGGTCAAAGGCACAGAGGCAGAGTGAAAAAGAGACAGACAAGGAAAAGAAAAAATAAAGAAAGAATAGGAATGCAGAGTGTTCGGGACTGGGAGGTCCGCATGCAGGGGTAGTGGTATAGGTATAATAAGAAGCGAAGAGAAGAGGACAGGGAAGAGAGAGGAGATATGATACGGCTCGGGGTCTAGGCGAGGGGCGAGAAAGTGAGCAGACAGCCGTCTTTGGGGAAGAGCGTCGCGATGATCCTACAGACACACGAACACGATCAGCAACGGGTAGGAGAGGGGAAAACAAGAAAAAGAAACAAAAGCACTCACTCAACCTCCTCACTCCTCTCCGTAACCTCATGCTTCCACTCCATCATCACACTCGCATCCGCCAACGCCAACGCAATATTCATAATCGCATACTCGACGCCGATGCACTTATGCGGTCCGCTCCCAAACACGAGATAATTCTTCGGGTTCTGGTTCGCGCTGCTGTTCTCGTCCAGCCAGCGTTCGGGGAGCAGACGGTCTGGCTCGGGGAAGACTTCAGGGTCGTGCAGGGAGGGGTAGGTGGAGGGAATGACCATGCTGTTGGCGGGGATGGTGTAGGAGGGTGAGATGGGGAAGGCTTTGAGCGTTTTGTAGGGGACCTAGATCAGGGAAGAGAGAAGGGGAGGAAGTCAGTACGGGCAGAGAAACGGGGAGGGAAGGAGAGAGAAGACGGACCATGGTGACGGGCGGCTTGACCCTCATACTCTCCTTCACGAAAGCCTTCAAATAAACCATCTGGTCATACATCTCCAACGTCATCGGCTTCTCATAATCCCCACCCCTCACCCTCTCCTGTTCCTCCTTCACCTTCTTCAACACATCCGGCATATCCGCCAAATGCTGGAACCCGTAGATCAAGCCCGAACTCATCGCGTCCTGACTAGCGAACAAGAACGAAAAGATGACCATCGCCATCTCGTGGTCGCTGAACTCTTTCCTTCCCTTGTAAGCCGGGTCCGCAAGCTGCTTCACCCACTCGTCCAACATACACGCGGGCTCCTTGCCTTCGGCCATAGCGATCTTGGACCGGTTCGCGGCGAGCATGAGCCATTCCATAGCGACCTTGCGCGCCTGGATCGCGCGGTAGACTTTCGTTCCTGGGATCGCGAGCGGGAAGTTCACGAGCTCGAGCGCGACAGTGATGGACCAGTATTTTTCGGAAATTTCTTCGGCGGCGTGTGCGGGGAGATGCGTGCCGCAGAAGACGCGGAGGGAGGTGACCATGTTGAGGTGGCGGACGGTCATCATGATCGGTTTTGGGGTCGGGTCGGAGATGTCGTTTGAGAGCCATTTGAGGAGATGTTCGCGCGTGATGTCGTCCATGAGTTGGATGTAGATGCTGTAATGGCGAGAAAATATTGATTACTACGTGTGATGGCGGGAGAGCGAAGGAACGTACCTGAGGGCTTTACGGGTGAAGAGGCCGTTGAGACTGCGGCGGTAGTCGACGTGGACTTTGCCGGTCAGGAATACCCTGTTCGATGCATGGAGAATATCAGCGTTGTACTTCGAGTCGTTCGGTGGGAATATGTTCGCACCAGTTCTCGGGGAGCAGGATCTGCTTGGCGGAGTGCACAAGACAAGGCTCGGCGTGAGTTGGCGAGTTGAAGATCTTGCGTGCGTATTCGTTCGACGAGGCCATGACGATGAAGCTGCAGGTACGGACAGATAGAAAAAAACCGCAGTCAGCCCTCGCCCCTGGTCAACCCTCCCACACCGCTCAAGACGCCCAACAATTCTAAAAAAAAAATACTGACATGTTGAAAACGCTAAGCGCACTCAACGCCCCGCTCGCCCACTGCCTCTTGTACCCCTCCATACTCGGCTTCATACTATCCGCAAACTTGCCAATAATCGGAATCGTCCAGTTATCGCCCGGCAGATGTTGTTTCTTCCACCGGTAGACGGTCTGCTCGAGGATGAGGAGCGCACCAAGGATGGCAGCGGTGGTGTAGAGCCATGTTGCGGCGCCGGATGCGGAGGAGGGAGCGAGGGAAAGGAAGGCGGGGGACCCTGTCGATGAGGGGACCGAGGCGGACTCGGTGGATTTGAAGAGGGAGGACATCGTTCGTCCGTTCGTTCGTGTATCGACCACTGCCGGTTGACTATAAGTACTACTATACTAGAACCGTAGCGGTGAGGGACTAGCTTTGAAGAGGGGGGTTGGAGAACGAAGGAGAGTGTGGAGGGAACGAATCCGCTTCGTTTTGTTTGGCCCGACTTTTTTGATTTTGATAGACCGAACGTCGGTTGGCCCACGGACGTTCCGTCAAAGTCAGGCCACTTTTTCCTGGGGACCTTTTACCGGCGCTTGGGCGCGGGGAATTGGGCGAACCCGCTTACGGGGCACAATTCACGTACACGTGATCGCGTTTGAGATGCCCCGGATCCCTCGCCCCGCCTCGATGGATGAGCACAAACGGCATTGTCAATGTTTCGTGGATCTGGGGCTGCCTGGGGGCGGGGCCCAGGAGGGAGTAGAGGAGGGCTGGAGAATTTGTGTGGTAATGCCGGATTTCTCGTGGGGAGATGGAGAGATGGAATGGAAACGAGGTCTGGTTGTGGTACGACCTTACTGAGTGACTGGAATAGGTGATCGTGCTCACGATACTGCGCCTCAGTGGGACAAGGGCGATGTACATATTGAAGACATTGGCGGTATCGTTACAAGGAGGTTATGGTCCTGAACAACCTACAACAGCCTACAACAGCAGACGATTTCGGAGGTGGAGCCATGAGATCATCTTTCTGGCGTTGTGGCGCGCAGCTGAATATTTGCCTCTCTTTTGCGTCGTCAGGTTCTTCCATAACCTTGACGTTCAACCTATCGATCCGAACGATTCATGAAGAACATGGGTTCCTTGCTAGCTCCACGCACTCTCCGTCGCTATTCCTTGGTACGACTTGAGCTCGACATCCAAATACTCCCTAGCTGCCGGTTGCCGTGAGCCTCGACGAGCAGGAGCGCTCGCGTTTCAACGACGTCGTCCTGAACCCTCTCTCTCAGGCTCTCGGATCACCTCCAATCTTTGAACGATATCCTTGTTCTCCTTCAAGCTTAGACTTTGCTGGTACTGTGACTGGGATTAGAACTCGGCGGTAGATTGGACGGTAATTCCACGACCCACATCGAGTTCAGATTCCTCGATTGACAGGAGACTCGGAGGCACGAAGGACATCAGGCGAAGGTGAGAACTGTGAAACGGTGCGTACTTTCCACCGCTGTGTTTGCGTTGTCGCAGAAGGGGATGCTGATTTTTTGTTGGACTGGACTGTGCATGGTCGGTAGGACGGTCGTGATTGATATGGGGAAGTATCTTCGAGGGTGATCTCGGAGCGGTCCTCGAACCATGGAGCGAGGAGAGCAACCCACGATCATGCAGGCGGTATGTCTACCAGATTTCCCTCACTATTCAATGCATATGCACTCAGTGAGACGTAATTCCTCTGTGTAGCCATGAACGGAGTAGGTCATAGCTCCGTGGTCCCCGACGGGGCGTACGGTCATATTTTTGTTTTCTGTAGATGCAAGACAAGATCGTACAAAATCATGTAGACTCGGACGCATACCTCTCGGAGTCTGCCTTCGCTGCTGTCAGACGTGTTTTCCCGGCTCTTATGTCTTCTGTACGCGGTGTAACTTCTGGATCGTCGTATTCAAATGGTCTATCGATATCATCGACTACTGTGTCCCGTTCGAGGTCTTATAACATACAGCGAGATCGTCATCACAACGACACAAAGGAGGGAAAGCAAAAAGCGAAGAAGTGAATTCATCCGGTGGACGTCCAGGGACCATTCTTATTCGCATCGTTCACTATGGACACTCATATTTACACACGCATCCGCTCTCGATCCAATCATTCCCAACCTGTAAATTATACCTCAGTATCTCACGCGGCTTATTCACATGTATGAACCTAAACAGGTTAATCAAGGACACTGTCTAACCCAAGAGCACCCTTCGAATCGAATGGGAAGGTACGAGAGCTCACTCGAACAAGAGGTCATCCATCCGCTTTTACCAACAACCTTCGACGGTCGCCTATAAATCTCCAACCCTATACTTCTCCTCGTCGATCTCCGCCAACACTGAATGTTCCAACTCTCCGTCCTTCAACCCATACAGCCTCGAGAAGCTCATGATCATAGGCCTCCACTTGTTCGCGTCGATTCTGTTCGCGTGTTCCTTCGAGACCAGTCCCTTCCACACATGCACCGTAAGAATCTTGACCTCGAACAACGTGATGAACGTCCTCGCCGCCTCCGTATCCATATCCTCCATCAACCCAAACCTCTTAACCACCTCGCCTTCCATCTGTACCGGACACTCCTTCACCCTCGGCGGCTCGACGAGGTCCGACTTTGCCTCCATCAACCCCGCCACACCGAACTTGTCCTTCACATATCTGTACCCTCTGCCCACTTTGTCAGTCGGAACGTCGGGCGTGCCCATGGTGCGAGCAAGCGCGTTGATGGAAGAAGACATGGTGTCGTCTGGGAGGTTGATGACGCATTGAGATGTGCGCAGGATGTTTTGTGTGGTTTGGGATGTGGATTGGAGACCGATGATGCAGCGGTGGCCGAGCCAGAAGATGGAGGAGATGGGGGCGAGGTTCGGGGAGTTGTCCGGGTTTGTGGTGGAGACGATGGCGACGGGGGTTCCCCAATAGAGGATAGCGGGGGAGATGGTGGTATGAGAAGTGTATCCAGAGTCGGACATTTTTGTGTGGGATTTCAATGGGCTCAGTGGAGGAGATGGGAGTGGTAGGTAAATATGTTGGCTCGTTCATGGTTCACCTACTGATATATGTTGAAAAACAGACGCCTTCATGAGTCTACAACGTACTTTGCGAGCAAACCTCTCGCTAAGGACATTTGCGCGCAAAGCAGGACGAATGTCCGCGCAAACTTACAGCACCGACAGGCTGGGCTCCACTCGTGTCCGGCAAGCTTGGCGGTTTGGTTCATGCTGTGTGACGTTCTTCGAGACGCAGAGTACTGTCCGATACACTCAGACGTTCTGTGAAGAGCATGGAAATATCTCCCGTCCTATGGTGTCTTCCAATACTGTTACAAGGTAGTAGCTGGGCTTGTACACCCATTATAGACATAAAGACGACAGATGAGCTATCATATGGGAGAAATAAGCTATTTTTACGCATTGGCGCTATCCAAGCGTTTGCTGTGCATAGTACCGCCTTGCGACTCTGGGTAGAGGGTACTATCTTCTGCTGCTTTCTTTCGCCCTTTCACTATCTTACTAGACACCGCACGACATGTCAGAATCAACTACCGAAGAAAGCCTGCGGTTGCTCGCACTAGGTGCGTTCTTTTCATCTCGTTGTTTGTGAGCCTTGGCTGATTTTTGGTAGACGGTGGCGGCATCCGTGGCTTGTCTTCTCTCCAGGTTCTTTGGCATCTCTTGCGTGAAGTCCAGGTTGAGGAAGGACTCCCGGAGATGCCGTTACCTTGTGAATATTTCGATCTCATTGGTGGGACCAGTACGGGAGGGTATGACAACGGAACGTGTACAGTGATTTGCCCCGGCGCTTACTCCAGCTCTACATAGGATTATTGCGCTCATGCTGGGACGCCTTCGCATGTCCGTCGACGATGCCCTCCGTAAATATGCGGAACTTTCCAAGGAAGTCTTCTCCAAGCGAAACGTATTTGGAGATGGGAGGTTCAAGGCGAGTAGGCTTGAGGGTGCCATAAAGAATGTGATCGCGGGGCAGCGGGCAGCCTCGCATGATGCAGAGGCCAGGATGATGGATGATGGGTCTTGTGGTGTAGCGTGTAAGACGTACGCAGCGACATACAATTCCCTCTTCACCAGGCGCTGATATCCTATCTCAACCGTAGATTCGTCTGCGCAACGGTCCCAAATGCCATAGCTGCTCCTACGCCCACGCTCTTCCGAACATATGAACCTCGTCACGGGCGTCTCATCAACTGCAAGATCTGGGAGGCCGCTCGTGCCACATCAGCTGCCCCTATATTCTTCGGACCTATAGAAATTGACACTGGCTACGGAGTCCACCCTCGATACACCGACGGCGGGCTCGGTAACAATAATCCTACCGATCTCGTTCTTCAAGAGGCCCACAAGCTATTTCCAGATCGCAAGATTGCCTGTATCATCAGCATCGGAACTGGACGACCCAAGAATGCGAAGCTCAGTAGGCCTGGTATCTTTCAACGTAATATGCCCCGCGTCGACGTCGCTATCGCTGTTGGCAAGATTGTCACCGATTGCGAGAAGACCGCTGAGGCTATGGAACGCCGCTTCCATCATTCCCCAAATGTATATTTCCGGTTCAACGTCGAGTATGGCATGGACGAGATCGAGCTGGGGGACTGGGAGAAGCTGGACGAAGTGCACGATATCACTAATGCATATCTGACGTCCGACAAGGTCGAGAAGGCGATGGAGAATGCGGCGGCAGCTATCAGAGCACGGCGTGGAGTCGTTACGACAGGTCAAGCCAGTATGTTGTAGTTCTGAAGTCTTGACAGTACATCATTTCAACTCATCATCTCGATAGGTGGTGCACTTGCGCAAATTGTTACTCGACGAAAGCCTGTCGCACCCCGTAAACTTTGTCCTCCTCCGACGCCATTTTTCACGGGTAGAGACGACATTGTTCGACAGATACAAGAGTACTTCACTGGACCTTCCGAGCGGCGTCGTATTTTTGCGCTATTTGGCTTGGGCGGCAGCGGGAAAAGTGAGATCTCACGCATGTTTGTGAAAGTTGTACAGGGAACTGAGCCGAAGAGGTACACTCTTGGATGACAACGCAAACACAAGTATGAAACTGTGCTGATTGATTGGTGTGTTTAGGTTTTCTGAATTATTCTATGTCGACGCAAGCAGCGAAGAGACGATAGAAACGGATTTAGGAAACATCGCCATGGTGGAGAAGATTGGGGATTCCGCTGCGGATACGACGCGGTGGATGGAAAGTCAAAGAGATTGGCTATTAATCCTCGATAACGCCGATGACCCTCATCTCGACCTAAGCCGATTCATCCCACAGACCGTGCACGGAAACACGATCATCACCAGTCGGAACGCTCAGACGCGCACCTACGGTTTTCCATCGAGAGCATATCACGAAATATTGAACATGGCTCCCGAGGAGGCGAAGGAGCTCTTCCTCCGGCGTGCAGGCCTCAAGATCGAGGACCAACCGTATACATCGAATGATCACGATGATGTGGTTGTGCAAACCATCGTCAAGGTACGTCCTCGAATAGCTCCACCGTATCTTACTAGTACATTAACAGCAGCTCAACGTATTCAAATAGGAGCTCGATTATTTTGCTCTGGCCATCATCCAGGCTTCCGCATATATTGCGAGCAATCCGACCTGCAAACCTGAGAAATATCTTGGCATGTACCAAGAGCGACGTCGAGAGTTACTCGAGGAGTACAAAAATGACGTCCAGAAGCTCGACTCATATCGTGGCACGGTCTATACGACCTGGAATATTAGCTTCGAGAACCTTCAGCACCATAACCCGCTTGCCGCTACATTCCTTCGTGTCTGTGCTTTCCTGCACAACGAATCTATCTCGGAGGCTATATTCAGAAATGCTGCCGCTGGATTGCTGTCTTTCAATTCGAGTATCCCTCCTTCTGAAGCAGTGATCTCTTGGGTGACGGACTTCCTACATTCATTCATGATCATGGATGATGGAATATGGGATGAGGGAAAGTTTCTCGCAGTAGTGCAAGACCTGTGCTCTTACTCTCTTATGAGTACTTCAGGTGGAAGCGATCTGTCTATCCATCTTTTGGTACAAGATTGGGCTCGGAATTATCACAACAACCTAGTCATCCCAACTTATACATCATTCATTCTGGGCCTGTCCATCTCATACTCTTATTATTCTGACCTACCGCGGCAGGCAAACTACGCCCACGATATCCGAAAGCTACTTCCACATGTCCAAGAGGTTCAGCGTCACTGCGAACACTTGGAATTATATGTAGCTGACTGGTTTGCGAGAACATTTTATGAGAGCGGACGATACCAAAATGCAGAAAGTCTTGAGATGGTAGTAAGAGAGGGATTGATGGATATGTTTGGCGAGGAGCATCCCGAAATCCTGACGAGCATGAACATCCTTGCAATGACATACCTACACCAAGGCCGATGGACAGAGGCTGAGAGGCTGCAGGCGACGTTGGTGGAGGCGAGGAAGCGGGTGCTCGGCGAGGAGCATCCCAACACACTGACGAGCATGCACAACCTTGCACTGACATACCGAGACCAAGGCCGATGGGCAGAGGCGGAGAGGCTGCAAGAGACGGTGATGGAGGCGAGCAAGCGGGTGCTCGGCGAGGAGCATCCCGACACCCTGGCAAGCATGAATACCCTTGCATCGATATACCAACACCAAGGCCGATGGGCAGAGGCGGAGAGGCTGCAGGAGACGGTGGTGGAGGCGAGCAAGCGAGTGCGAGGCGAGGAGCATCCCTCCACCCTGTCGAGCATGCACAACCTTGCATCGACATACGGAAACCGAGGCCGATGGGCAGAGGCGGAAAGGTTGCAGGTGACGGTGATGGAGGCGAGGAAGCGGGTGCTCGGCGAGGAGCATCCCGATACTCTGACGAGCATGCACAACCTTGCATCGACATACGGAAACCAAGGCCGATGGGCAGAGGCGGAAAGGTTGCAGGTGACGGTGCTGGAGGCGAGCAAGCGGGTGCTCGGCGAGGAGCATCCCGATACTCTGACGAGCATGAACAACCTTGCGTTGACATACCGAGACCAAGGCCGATGGGCAGAGGCGGAGAGGCCGCAGGCGACGGTGATGGAGGCGAGCAAGCGGGTGCTCGGCGAGGAGCATCCCGACACCCTGGCGAGCATGCACAACCTTGCCTCGACATACCGAGATCAAGGCAGATGGGCAGAGGCGGAGAGGCTGCAGGTGGCGGTGATGGAGGCGTGCAAGCGGGTGCTCGGCGAGGAGCATCCCAACACACTGACGACTATGAGCACCCTTGCATCTACATACCACAACCAAGGCCGATGGGCAGAGGCGGAAAAGCTGCAGGCAACGGTGATGGAGGCGAGCAAGCGGGTGCTCGGCGAGGAGCATCCCTCTACCCTGACGAGCATGAACAACCTTGCATCGACATACCAAGACCAAGGCCGATTGACAGACGCGGAGAGGCTGCAAGAGACGGTGATGGAGGCGAGCAAGCGGGTGCGAGGCGAGGAGCATCCCGATACTCTGACGAGCATGAACAACCTTGCGTTGACATACCGAGACCAAGGCCGATGGGCAGAGGTGGAGACGCTGCAGACGACCGTGGTGGAGGCAAGGAAGCGGGTGATCGGAGAGGAGCATCCTTACACATTGCGAACTATGGAAAGCCTCGCATCGACGTACCAGGCACTGGACCGATTATCGGATGCAAGCAGGCTCGAAGCAGAGGTGGAAGATATCAGAAAAAGGCTTGTCGTACAACGGGATCACGGGGTAGAGGCAGACAGCAGTACTTCTCATGCGAGCTGACTGAGTATGAGACTACGAGTAAATGTCCATCGTATTATTTATCGTGGTCCAGTTTTCTGATACAACATATGTATACCGTGATTCGCGTACTCGAAGTCGAGTGAACTTTTCCATTACTCTTTCTCAAACAGTGTTTTTTTAGCTTTATGACAAGTCTCCATACGAATCCACTTTCGACACCTCCTCGTTGCTTTAAATCAGCAACTATCGGGGGATCGCGTCAATGGTTATGAACGGGAGACAGTACTTAAGAGGAGGCGGAACGGAACGTACCCCGCGCTACATAGTTGAAACTCCAGTGGGCTCCATCGTCGCAAGATATCGCGTTCCGTCACGGTCTCGGTATGAATAATGAGACGGTGGATGACTTCCCGTAGAGAAAATATATGTCTATTAGGGCATATATGTAGCGGTTCACATCGTGTTTTTGCGATGTGAACTAAACCCATGATGGATTCAATACTTCGCAATTTTGTCCCGTTGGAGCCTCGAAGCTCAATTCACACGCAGTGCAATTTCGATGCGAGAGGGGCCTCCTCCGGCCTCTGCCCGTTCACTGACGTCGTTCGGAACAACACACACTTTGGCGGAAGGCCCACGTACTGTAGCTCCCAAAAGAATCGCTGTATCAGAGGCCATCAGGAAGGGGGACGGGAATGAGAGCAGGAGTAGACCCGTCTCGAGGATCCAAACTCAATGTGAACTGAGTATTATATCTAGCACCACACTCGAGATTCCGAGTTCACACTTTTCGTTTTCAGGATGATGAACGAACTTGGGAATTGCCGGCTGCTGCCGGCGGAAACCTTGCTTAGTTTTTTTTAGGGGACACTTAGTCGAGCAGGTAATCATCATGAAAAAGCTTTCTGGTATTCATTCTCTAGTTGGCTTCGATTGGGATGACTGCTAGCTAGTGAAGTGCTCGTTGTGATGCAGTGGACTGTGGCAGTGGGCATGGCTCGTGAGTATTGTCTTGACTACTTACACAGGGCACTTTCGAGATTTGGACAAGGCGCAGGTTCGTGACGGCCAAAGCCAACACTGGCAGTGGCAATGCATAATCGTAAACGGCCTCCTGGATCAATCATGATGCGGACATTTAGATAAAAGACAATATCAGCGTCCAGAGTCCCAGATATCGAGGCGAGAGAGCCTAACATGGGCGCCACATTCGCCACGCTGTTTGGCCTTATTTGCTCCTCAACACGCGCCACAATTACGGGGGTTGGAAAGACCTTGCTAAGCAAGGTTCCTGGTCCCTTTAGGGGACAAGGTCTGTTAGCAGCTAATTTTCGTCAAACAGCCAGACATAGTTAGTCTCGTTCCGATCGGCACTTCCCATGCGCCCAGACCGCACTACTCGCGTGCTTGCCACACGTTGCAATTGGCCACACGGCCGGCCGGCCTTCCATCCTCCTCCACTCTCGTCGTCTCGAGCTCATAAATAAGGCCGATGTTCGTGCATTCCCAATACACCCCTACTTGAATAAATACTGCATCTGCATGACTCGATTGGAAAAGAGGCCAACATCTGTGGATCGCCCCGGCAAGGAGGGTGGGCAGGCGGTCCACAGAGGTCGGCATCTTCGTTCCAGTTGTCAGTGTACTAGTATATAGTATAATATAGACAATATTGCATGTCCCGGTGCCACATTCTATGTGGGATATAGCCCGATGTACATCAGGAGAGGCATA